TGTTAGAATGACTGCTATGGGTTTGCCTTGGCAGATGGCCTGTGTGAGTTTGGTTTATGCAAGCTCCTATCCAAACTCTTCAATTTCCTGTCTCTTTAGAAAGCATAGCCAAAAACAGTTTAATTGACCAAAGATCCCTGAAAACAGAGGAAACGCAATTAAGAATACAAGTCTTTACAATTTATTTACCAGCTCAGAAACATATTATTTAAAATTATAGAGCATTGGAGTATGGTTCAGAGGAGGTAATTACCCTGTGCTAAATAACTGGTTTTGAGTGTATCTTAAAGCTAGATAATTTACAGCTAGAAGTAATTATTTAAAAGAACTCTCTGTTTTGCTAAAAATATTTAAAAGCACCCAAAGCAAGTTACTTACAAATTCAATTCCTACATTAAAGAGGAAAAACTAGTGCTATGAATATTTGTGTTTAGACATTGAAGATATTCAAAGAGGTATGTTTCAAATTAAGAAAAATTGTACTGAAATATATATCTATCTTTTAAGTGCAAAACAACAAATAATACGCACAGTTTCAAACTGTGATCACTGAATTTCATATCTTTTTATAAAACACCCAGTTTACGATGTAATATAAAGATATTCTATCTAGATTCAATGTGATGATTTGCAAAACTATATATATTAATTGCAAATTTGTTTTATCTGTTGTTACTGGAAACAAATGTATTAACATCAACCAAACATGCCCCAGGTGGAAAGTCAGGTAGTAAAAAGTTTTACTGGAAAGCTGGTGACTTAATGTCACTCTTAGGGATGACTCATCGGACCCTCATTGGTTTTCATCATCATTGTCAATCAATCCACATCAGAGATTCTGGTCCTGTGGGTACTGGCATGTTTCCATTCGGCTTGCTTTGTGATTTCAGAATGTGAGTGTAGGGTGATTGCTCTTTCGTTAATTATAGCTAATACTCCACATTTGTTGAGGCTTTTCCCTTAATGATTCTATTTGAAAAGAATTTTGGTTTTATCTCCTAAACAGTGTAGGGACCTACATTTTTTTAAACAAAATTTTTATTGAAAGCCCATTGAAAAATAGGTTTTACTCAGTAGTAATTTGCTCTTTATCAAAAAATTGTAAAACATACACATCCTGTTTAAGCGAAAAGTGTCTTTAAAGTTCAACTAAGTGAATTAAACTGAGCGAAGAGACTGGAGAAAATTGAGGTAATTCTTTACAAGCTCTATATGGTTTGGCCCTTGTTTTTTCTAACTGGCAGCTATAGATTCTAATATGTTACTGTCACTTGGTTCTTAGTTGCAGAATAAATACTAATTTAATCAGTAAAACATTTTTCTAGAAGATTTGTCTACACCAAACCTATGCTGAATTTTTCACATGAAAGGGTCATTTCTTACTACTTACTAGCTACATCTTTGAAAAATAGTTTTACAAGTGAAATCATTTGAATTTTCTTTTTAAAGAAAATATGTGAAAAGAAAAAACATGTGGTTACTTTTTTATGTCATGGCAAGGATATGCCTTCCTCCAGTTTTCTATTTTAAATCTAGTTACATATATATTAGATTTCTTAAATATGAGCTATGTAAAATATAAACAAAACAAGCAAGTTTAAATACAGAATCCAGTGATACATTGTATTTATCATGGACTTTGGGTGAATTTGCATTAATGACTACCAAAATTATCCATATAGTGGCAAAATATTGAAAATGCTTTTGAGATGAAATTTAACTGAACAATAGTCTTATGTGGGGTTAATAACCAAGAATTCTACAATAATAAGTGTAACCGTGGATTTGATTATTCAAAAAAGTAATTCTGAGAATAATTATATAACAGATTTCTAGTCATCAAATAAAGCTTATTGGCAGTTAATCTTTATAGTGCACGGCACTTATAAAAACATGGATAATAATTCTTATTGGATATTGAAATGATAATCTCTCTCTGCTCTCTCCATGATTTCTTTTTTTTTTAACATCTTTATTGGAATATAATTGCTCTACAATGGTGTGTTAGCTTCTGCTGTATAATGAAGTGAATCAGCTATATGTATACGTATATCCCCATATCGCCTCCCTCTTGCGTCTCCCTCCCACCCTCCCTATCCCACCCCTCTAGGTGGTCACAAAGCACCGAGCTGATCTCCCTGTGCTATGCGGCTGCTTCCCACTAGCTATCTATTTTACATTTGGTAGTGTATATATGTCCATGCCACTCTCTCACTTTGTCTCAGCTTACCCTTACCCTTCCCCCTGTCCTCAAGTCCATTCTCTACATCTGCCTCTTTATTCCTGTCCTGCCCCTAGGTTCTCCAGAACCATTTTTTTTTTCTAGATTCCATATATATGTGTTAGCATACAGTATTTGTTTTTCTCTTTCTGACTTACTTCACTCTGTATGACAGACTCTAGGTCCATCCACCTCACTACAAATAGCTCAATTTTGTTTCTTTTCTGGCTGAGTAATTCTCCATGATTTCTGAACAAGAGCACTTAATGCAGAAAATGTTAAAGGCCCAATGCAAAGCCCTGCTTACAGAGAACGTTTAACTTAGTTAATAATATGACTTGTTTAGGAATTTTAGGGTGAAAATTTTTATTTATATTTTCATATTTACATTTTTTGGTGTTCATTTTCCAGACCCTTTAAATGTTATGAGTTATTAATGCACCAACGTCGTATGATGTAGAGTCACTTTTTTGTTGACCCTAAGCACTGACATTTGATGTACCCTGTAGGACACGCTCACGGCCAGACAGCCGAGCTCACCCGAGGTAGCAGTCTTACACAGTCCTGCCTCCCCTCCCTGGACTTTCTCTTTAGGACCCAGATGAACAGGGTTGGGCTCCAGGCAGCCTGGTGGATGAACAAAGGGCAGATGACAGTGATGTGTCCTTGAGGAGATTTAGGACGTATTCAGGTCATAAAGGTCACATCACTCAACACTGACAAAAGATTTTTAAATGTTCTGGATAGTTTGTCAGCTTCCTGTAACTTGTGTGTTCTTAGTTTCAGCGTCTTCTTGAGGTTCACAGAAATGTACAGAGACTTTGCTGGTTTCACTCGGCCTGCAGTTGGCATTCCCTGGGCACGTACTCCTCGGCAGCAATGCTGCGTTTGTCCCTTTGGCCAAATGAGACATCCTTCCTACTAAAACCTTGGCTGAATGATGGAACTAATTGGAAATCAAACCAAAAACAAAAAGGAAAAAAGAATAATATTGAGGGTGTATAATAGAACATTTTCTTTAAAAAGCATAAGTTGTTGACAAAGTAAAGTATTAGCCCAGTATAGAAATTAAACAGTACCATGAAATCATAATGAATAGGAAGCCAGTGACCCATCTTTTCAATAAATAAACCTCTCTATCAATAATGCGGTTTTGTTCAAGGATATAAAGTGTCACATACATATGAGTTATCTATTGCTGCATGAGAAAATATCTCAAAACTGTAGTGGCTTAAAACAACAGTGTTTATTATCGTGCGTTTTCTGTGGATCAGGGACTTAAAGGGTCACTTACTTGTGCGGTTCTCTCTCGGCGTCTGTCGTGAAGTTGCTTTCAGGGCGTCAGCCAGAGCTGACGTCCTCTGAGGGCTCAGCTGGGGCGGGAAGATCCACCTCCGGGCTCACTCACGTGGCTGTTGGCAGTTAGCTTCAGCTCACCCCCATTTGGCTCTCTTCATGCCCTCACGACGTGGCAGCTGGCTTCCCCCAGAATGAGAATCTAAGAGAGAAAGCAGCCAGGAAGCCACGAGGCTTTTATGACTTAGTGTCCCCACTTGCCTTTTTTCTATTCATTAGAAGTGAAAGGAAGTTCAGCCCACACTCCAGAATAGGGGGATTAGGCTCCACCTAATTCCATTTGGAAGGGAGTGTCAAAGACCTTGTCAACATATTTTAAACCACCACCAGCACATTCACAACACTGCTGGAAAGCGGCTTAAATGTATTATAACAACCATTTTTTAATATGAACCTGAATTCTCTCCTCAAGTCATTACCAGAGGTTAATTAGGCTCTAGGACAGCGGTCCCCAACCTTTTTGGCACCAGGGACTGGTTTCGTGGAAGACAGTTTTTCCACAGACCGGGGACGGGAGTGGTTTGGGGATGATTCAAGCGCATTACATCTATTGTGTACTTTATTTCTATTAGTATTACACTGTAATATATAATGAAATAATTATACAGCTCACCATAATGCAGAATCAGTGGGAGCCCTGAGCTTGTTTTCCTGCAACTATATGGCCCCATCCGGGGGTGATGGAAGACAGTGACACCCGACGTGTGTTGCTTATGTCCAGTCTACTCCATAAGATGCAGCTTAATTGTCACTTGCCACTCACTGATAGGGTTTTGATATGAGTCTGCAAGCAGTTGATTTATTAGGGTCTCTGTGCAGTCAAACCTCTCTGCTCATGATGATCTGTATTTGCAGCCGCTCCCCAGCGCTAGCATCAGCGCCTCAGCTCCACCTCAGGTCATCAGGCATTAGATTCTCATAAGGACCATGCAACCTAGATCCCTCGCATGCGCAGTTCACAGTAGGGTTTGTGCTCCTATGAGAATCTAATGCCGCCGCTGGTCTGACAGGAGGCGGAGCTCAGGCGGTAATGCGAGCCATGGGGAGCGGCTGTAAATACAGACGAAGCTTTGCTCCGCTTGCCTGCCGCTCACCTCCTGCTGTGTGCCCGGTTCCTAAAGGGCCATGGACCCCTGCTCTAGGGTATTGTCTGCTAGATTGGCGACATCTCTGAAGCACTGAAGGCTCTCAATCCTCTGATCAACACAATTCATCTGCATCCATATTCAAACAGCTTTGTACAATCTGTTTTACTTGAACAATCAAAGAAATCTCTCCACGCTCAGACCAGTTGGTAAATTAGATGTGCTTAAATTGAAAACCAAGTAATTTTTTGTTGAATTTTATGTAAAAATATTTGAAAACTTTTGACATAAAAAGTATTTCCATAACATGCATATTATTTTCCCTTTCATCAATGAAGAGAGGATGGCTGTGTTCCTGTCCCAGCTCAAGCTACCAGCAGCAATGCTGGCTGCCCAAGCTCATGGGAGGCCTGGTCCACCAGGAAAGGATGGGTTGCCTGGGCCACCAGGAGACCCTGGGCCCCAAGGTACGCCTCTGAGGACAATATTTGTTTACCAACTCTTTAACTCTCAGTATTTATAACATGCTAATCACAGTTAAGGCAAAAATTATATCTATTTATATACATTACAAATATATATTAATATACACTAAAAGTATGTATATTAGATTATATATAATATATATACTTGGTATGTGTTTTATAAATTTATATAAAAATATGTATATATAATGATTTAATATAGGATATCTTGTTAATATTTGATATTCCAGAAATAAATTTTTAACTATTATTCATTCCAGTTTAAACCTGACTGATAATTTTCTGCTAATCTAAATGTATTTAATAACAATACTTATTATGATAACAGCAATAATGTGCTTATTTATCATTATTATCTGCAAATTTCTTGTCATTTATGCCTCGCTGTTAATGTAAGTAGACAACAAGAATCTTAGTATCTTAGCATCTTAAAGAAACTGAGGAAAAAGTCTTAAGACCTGCTACTATGACTAGTGATTTGGGTCTGAAATACATTTTTGAGAAATTTTAGAATCCTTTTTCTTCTGCAAAAGTTGTGGATGGTAACTTCTGAATTTAAAAAAAAATTCTCATGTTTCTAAATTTTTCAAAGCAAGACTTAAACTGGCAAAAAAAAAATTTGCTCCACTGATAACTTGACAAGAGACATGATCTTAAATGTAGCTTGGCTAAATTCAGCTGGCAAGAGCATTTTCTAGAAATGTGATTGGCAATCAGCAGAGGGGCCAAGGGGAGCCTGGTTTAGGAGATTCACAGCTCTGACAAGGAAGCATTAGATCCAATGAGTACGTACTGTGAGAGGAAAGGCCAGAGACACTGCTTTTCATGTGTTATTATAGAGGAACTCAAGGGCTCTCCTTGGAATAATCAAAAGCTTGTGTAAGGGAGAGAGACAAAGATGCTAATCTGGAAAGACGCAGGCACCCCAGTGTTCATAGCAGCACTATTTACAATAGCCAAGACAGGGAAGCAACCTAAGTGTCCAGCAACAGATGTACGGACAAAGGAGAAAAGAGAAAGTTAACACCAATATCACATAGGAATACAGTTCAAAATACCATATATGCAGAGAGTTATTTCCCTTTCACTAGTTCACTTTCCTTCTTACGGCTTCTCTATTTTCTGTAGGAAGGGCCCAAAGGTGATTGCCGTGTCCTCCCTCCCCTGAAAGAGGCACAGCTTTCCCCAGTCGTGGGGTCTGTTAGGATCCTAACTTCCCATTGAAACTGACAAGCCTTCTGGTTTAGCTAGCACAGTGCAAAACAATGGCAATGAATCACTCTAGTTTACCTGAACTGTCTTTTCTACCTAGTTTCTCTTAGGTCACAGAGAGTTTTGGCAGGGAATTGGAAGCAAGTGTAGAATCAGGTGTAGCCTTGTGCGTGTACCATTGTGTAAAGGGTGGTTAATTACCATCTTCTGCTAGTTGGGTCTGTTGTGAATTCAGAGTGTAGGAGACGGGAAGGAAGACCTTGATAGCCCATCTGAAGATGTTTGATGCCTCAAACCATGTGAAGAACCAGGACTGTTAACACCAATAGGAGAAAGATCTTGGACAGATGCTTCACACAGTGGCCATCTAAGGGGACAAGAGCAATGCATGGTCAGGATAGCAAGGAAAACCCTTCTGGAACTAGAGTCACCTGTCCACACAAACCCCTGTCTCGGGCTCCCTCCCATGCAGGGAAGGCCCACCTGGAAGGCCCATCTGGAAGGCTCTCGGGCAGAGGCCGTGCCAGGTCAGCAGTGTTCGTGCAGCTTTTGGAAACAAGACCTCTGTTCACCACTCATTGGCCTTCACTTCCGCAAAAGATTTCTATGGGTTTTATCTGCTGTGCTGCCGAGGAGACCTTATCTACTGTTTCCACTCCTGATGGGGCTTCGGATCCAGTTCTTTTTTTGTTGTTTTGCGATACGCGGGCCTCTCACTGTTGTGGCCTCTCCCGTTGCGGAGCACAGGCTCCGGATGCGCAGGCTCAGCAGCCATGGCTCACGGGCCCAGCCGCTCCGCGGCATGTGGGATCCTCCCGGACCGGGGAAAGAACCCACGTCCCCTGCATCGGCAGGCGGACTCTCAACCACTGCGCCACCAGGGAGGCCCTCCAACGTTTTTAAAAAGAATGTTTAGTAAAATTAACAAAACTCTTGTCCCACCGGAGGGTTCTGACAACAGACATATCTTGATTATAACTCAGGTGTCTCCTCAGCGTTTGCATATCTCCTTTTCAGGATTTGTTACATGCCAGAAATGCAGCCAAAAAATAAAACTCGTGAAATCTGGGAGTTTATAATAAGACTTGAAAGTCAAAATGACTCCTTGATCCATGGGCTGCAGAATGGATGTAGTGTTAGCAGGCATGAAAACAACATGAATCTTGTTGAACATTCTTTCAGCACCTGATCTTCTTGCAGTGAGAATAGATGCCAATATGATTCTGAGTTGGGTCACCTTGTTTGCACTTTTCCTAAATTCCCCAAAGGGCAATTGTTGATGCCTTTTTTTTAATTCAAAAAATTCAGTTTTAGATTTTAACCACCCTTTGGGTTTCGGATTATTGCCTTCCCACTGTGCTGTGGGAGGAGTGCTTTCCTTGGTGTCCTTTATTCCCAGCCCCCAAGAGTGGGAGTTGCTTTGGGGGGGGGTTACTAGGAGAAAATGGATCCAGCCATTCTATCCCACATCAATTTTGCAGGGGTGGTATTGGGAATGAGGGCTCTTACTTTTGAACTTCTAAAGTTCAGCTGTTACTGGTTTGTCATGAAAGAAACCACCTGTTATGTATAAGCCAGTGGCCCATAGAGTAGTTGATATGACTGATGTAGATTTGACCCTTCACATCTGTTAGCAGCAGGGGCCTCAGGAAATGGGAGGCATATGTGTGTCAGTATGGTGACGGGTTCAGTGGCCAATTAGTGGGCCAGAACAAGCAGGCCAGACAATGTGGAAGGCTTGCAGACAGCTTGTAAGGTCCCACATGAAGAGTCATCCTCCCAAATGCCAGTAACACTCTTTTTCTGACCTCATTTTTCCAGCGTGCAAGTAAATGCACTGATTTACAATTTTAGAAGTAAATCCCTTGTGTTGAAAGGGAAATAAAGTCTAACACCTTAAAAACTCCAGCAAGCACAGTTCTTCAATGATGAGAATCTCTAGATGCTTTGGGTTAGGGCACTGCTGTTGTTTTATATTTTTTCCTACATAAGCTACACTGATATCAAACTCTCATCCTGCACCTAGGGGCCAAGAAAACACGTCTGTTTGCAGATAGACCAGCCTTTTAGTCTTTTACAAATTTCGAGAGAGGCCTACCCTAAAGGGTGAAAAGCTTAATTCTAGAGAATGGGGACGTTGTTTTTGACCTTATTAGCATTCCTATCTGAAGTGTTGTTGTGGAAAAAATATGTATAGCTGATTCACTTTGTTATAAAGCAGAAACTAACACACCATTGTAAAACAATTATACTCCAATGAAGATGTTAAAAAATAATAATAATAATAAGACCCTGGACTTCCCTGGTGGCGCAGTGGTAAAGAATCCACCTGCCAGTGCAGGGGACACGGATTTGATCCCTGGTGCAGGAAGATCCCACATGCTGCGGAGCAGCTAAGCCCGTGCGCCACAACTACTGAAGACCGCACGCCTAAAGCCCGTGCTCCGCAAGAAGAGAAGCCACCACAGTGAGAAACCCGCGCACCGCAACGAAGCGTAGCCCCTGCTCGCCGCAACTAGAGAAAGCAACGTTTTCCACATTTCCTGCGCGCAGCAACGAAGACCCAACACAGCCACAAATAAAGAAGTAAATAATAAATAAGACCCTAAGGCTTTTGGGGAGCCTTCATAAGGAATGAGCTTGGGACCTTATTAGGAAAGTTAAGAGTAGAAAGTTCTCATGTGCTTTGTGCACTTCAACATCTTTATCTGTTAATAGTGGGTCCGTATTTACCTAATGATGTGAGACGTTTGTACAAACAAGTTGTTACATTTGACAGGACACGTGTAAATGTTACCTTATTATACAAATACACAAGTTATTGTTTCTTGTTTTGTGATACCATATGCACTGAAATCCATATGGAATAATATATTTTGCATTATATTGAAATTGAGAATTGAGTTTAAATATATTTTGCATTATATTGAAATCTGAGAACTGAGTTTAAATATGTAGCTTTTAGCACCTACGTTGTTCATTTGGAATTGTGTTCAGTGTCGTTAACCCTCTTGTTAATCGGAAGTTCATGTATCTTCACTTATTTTTCTTTCTTCCTCATTTTTTTAGCCTATGATCTTAAGCCCTCACTGAGATGACTTGAGAGCCACCTTAACGAGGTGTCTGTAATAGCAGGAGCTGGGTTGAACTATATTAAATATACCTCAGGTGGTAAATGTTATTTTACTGCAGAAGTGTTTAAATATAGATTTGGAAGGGTGCTTTCAAATGACCCTAAGTCCAAACATTTCTCCTTACTGCTCACGTTTGTTAAATGAAGGTCACTTACATAAAAGAAATCCTGGTGATATTTTAAACTTGAATTATGTATCTATTTAGTATTCACTCCACTGTTCTCTCTAGGATCTAGGATTGTATTGAATCTCTGTAACATAGTTTTCAGATATAAATGTGTGAAGATAGTCCACTGGGTGGATTTTCAATATACACCTCAAAATATTTCCTGAATGTATATCAGTCTGTTGCCAGAGAACACGCTTACTTTTTTGTCTCTCTTTTTGTATATCTCCCATTTAGGCTACCGAGGACAGAAGGGAGAAAGAGGGGAACCGGGAATGGGGCTTCCAGGGAGCCCAGGTCTTCCTGGGACCTCAGGTAATAGTGATATTATCATCTTCACAGCATGAGCAAACCTCCCAAAATAGAAGCCATGCCTGCTCCCCGATGGCCCTTAGGTATCGCTGCAGGCGACACTGAATGACCCACGTTGGCTGGAGGGAGGGAGGAAAAGCCATATGTTGACCTGTGTTCTGATGGGGTCTTTTATTTCATTAGCTCCGGGCCTGCCAGGCTCACCAGGTGCCCCAGGGCCCCAGGGCCCCCCAGGACCCAGTGGAAGGTGTAACCCAGGAGACTGCCTGTATCCCGTCTCTCACGCCCGTCAGCAGACGGGTGGGAAATAACCATACCTGAGGACGACTTGATTCCCAGCCATCCCTCCTTGACGTTGGAGCTTTCTTAATACTGTCAGACCCTCACGATTCATGGGTGACTTTTTTTTTTGATGTAGGCCAGACATTAAGAGCAAAAATTGGAATCCTATTCCTATAGTAATGGTGATATCAGCCTTTTTAGAATTTTTCCAAATTCATTCCATGTGTCTTGTTTCACCATTATTATGATTTTTATTCAGAGTTTTCTTTGAAATATGCAAGCAAATCATATCATTAGTTCTTCTTCAAGAGGAAGTGACATCTTATGATTTAGCAGACTGACGGCGATGTACGTTTTATAATCTCATCAACTTGTATTTGGCCTTTGATTTCTGAATTTTACAGTTTCAGACTTACCTGAAAGTTTTCTTGGTGTTTAAATTTACTAGCATTGCTAAAAATCTCATCACCTTTTTTGATATAGTGCATTGTTCCTGCTGAACGTTTTTTGACTCCTTTTTATAGCTTAAGAATTCTTATACCATCCTGTATCCATTCTACTTATTCAGAGAAATAGATAGGCAATAAGACCTTCACTTCATAACTTATATTTTGGAAGAAAACCCAGGCGGCCGTTTTATCAGGGAGCCCAAAATCCTACCATAGCCAACTGCTGAAATGATTTTGTCGATTCTGTGTAATGAGCTCCATTCAAAGCAATCCCACCGGCATGAGTATGTCCTGCATAAGAAGGGAGGCAAGAAGTCAAAGCCCAGCACTGTGGCCCCTGCACTGAGTTTCTCATTTGGGAAACAGAAAGCTGTTTTCCCTAGAAGGTATCTGGTGGTGAAGGCACCAAGCTGTCTTTAGTACTTTCGAAGCTTAAAGGGCCTCGCAAGGTCTTTGGGCCCCTGTATCCATTACCCTTCTGACCTCATGACTCTCAGAGTTTAAAAACCAGCCATCAGAACAAAGGATGGGACTTGTAGCAACTGGAAAAGAAACCCCCTTGACCTAGAAGATGAATGTGCAGTGTCAGCAGACACATATTGCCAAGCCCAGAAGCTCTGGTGGAGAAGGATGTTTCTCAGAAGCTGCAGCAAGAGGTGCGGGGCAGAGAAGGAAAGCCACGAGACCCAACATGCAGCCGGCACCGAGACCAAAGAGGCCACGCACTGCAGGGAAACAGGCACTGCCCGGACCACGTCCTCTGGCCAGGAACGAGAATGTGTGATTGCCAACCACATGGCTAAACGGTTCTTCTATTGCCTGGCTCTACATTATTTTGAGAAACTGTTGGTTGAAAACAATGGATTTCCTAGGGCACCGAGCATGAGGATATTGCTGACGTCTAAGTGGTGGGTCCCAGGGATGCTGAGAGCGCCCAGAGCCCCCCCGCTGCAGACATCCCATCCCGAGGCCGTCGGGGCAAGCTGGGGAAAGCTGTGAGCAGGGTCTTGTGGGGAGCGTTGCTACATGAAGGCGGCTTCGTTCAAACGCACCCAGGGTTTCAACTGGGTTTCACTGTAGACGGATGAACTGCTGGTCAGGTACTGTCTACGTGGCTGTGCGTACATGCAACCTTTTCATTATTTCATGTTGAATGATGCTGTATATTTCACTTCCAAGTTTATTTATTTTCTTTTCCAAGGTCATTTTATTTATTTCAAGTGTTGTTAACTTTAAATTGATTTTCTTCTTCATTTTCTTTCCTGTGCAATACCTACAATGGTGCTGTGTTTTAGACTTGACACAATCAGAATATACATACACATTTTCTTAGTAAAATGATCATTTATCACTCCCCCCCCAAAAAAATGTACAGAGATCTAAAATCTGGTGCTATGTGTATATCTTGAGCTTTTAATTTGTGGAACTTTAATTTGTTGAATTTTCTGAAAGCTTTACAACTCCTCTGCCACTCATAAATTTACTTGAACTTGTCATAAAGCTCAACATTTTATATGTTTTCAAAGATTATTTTTTCAAATTAGTAATAGTTTGGTTCTCCTTTTGCCTCTTTGCTAATCCGGAAGTATTTATTTTAGCATTTTACTGTTTTCATGAACTTTTTTGCTATTGGTGATCAATGTATTTTTGTTTTCTTTGAGTCGATCACTTCACAAACATAAGAAGACTCGCTTCACTTTCTTGTTTTATAAATTCTGCTTATTTTAATTCCAGAGAATATGTCACGTATCCTTTCTTACAAATGGTATATTTAGGAACCTTTCTTGTTCTAAATTCCATTAAGGCTGGGCTGGTTTATCCCTGCTTCAAGAATATGGATTTATTCAGCTGGTTTGAGGAGCTGGTGCATATTACAAAGTAGAGCTGTCACAATGACACAGCCTGTTTTTTAACAACCGACACACGTGACTCAATCTACCTGGGGCGTAACCAGGGGAACAGGCTGTGTCACGTGGAGCGAGCCTCTGCTCAGCTGCCTGTGTGTCCACCGTCTCATCTCTGTACACGAGATGGGGCCAAAAGCAGCAAGAAAGCCTGAGTCCAGCTAATACAACACCAAATAAAGCGGAGATTTGGCAGTTGCCTGATTCTTTTAACAAAGAGAAAGGGGATAATTAAGGCCCCAAAGTCGGGTGTGAAAATTTCCCCTAACTGGCTTGGTGGTTGCCAATTCTCTTGTATTGTTTTTGTTTTTTCCATTCCAAAACCTTTGTTTACTTTCACACAGCTGTCAGTAATGTCCACAGCAGGGAAGAGGAATGACCACATTTCCTGAATTACCTCTTCTTTGGACTCCAGACAACATAATGTTTAAATACAAAATAATTTTGGCCATGATGGCTATTAAAAATTAAAATTGTGTTTACCCTATATGTTTGATTTCCAGTCTAACATTTTATACCAAGGTCAGTTAACACTGTCAGATAGAAATCTTTCTATGCAAAGAACAAGATATGACTTCAATTAATATTTATGGCCTTTGGAACCTAAAGGAAAAAGGAAGAATAATTCATGAGTTTGTTCACTGTTCTTTCCTACTGAAGACATTAACCATTTTTTCATAACAGAAACACAGCCAGTCTTAACCTTTGAAAGTTTTCACCTCATGATCAAAGTAATCTGATTAATGACTTTAAAGTATTGATAATCCCATATGCTTATTTCTATGTTTCATGACATTGTTGAAACTTTAAAATTGTAGTCACTTTTATTGTAGAACTTCAGTAATTATCTTAAGATGTGTTATCTGTAAAAGATGCCATTTGATGTTTGGGTTATAAAATAATGTTTTATGAGTATGTTTTAGGAGTTAAATAAGATTTAGCCTTTCTGCAGTCTTTCTAATCTGTTGAGAACCTGTGATATACCTCCTGTTGTCCACAAGATGGTGTTTAAAACAATTTGTATCAGAAGAACTGAACAGACTTGCAGAAATACAAATCTGGAAACAGTTTAGTGGGCAACAACTCAATCAGAACCTTTGCTTTTGCACTTATTCTTTTTTACTTTTGTAAATAATTTCTTGTTAATTTATCTTTTGTTATCTTGTTTTGTTCATTTATATTTTTCTTCATTTTAAGTATCTTTATGAAGCAGGCACAGTAACTCTTGATTTGTTGGCTGTTTCAATTTTATTTCGTCAGGGGATTTATATGCCTAGTTAACTTGCAAAGTTACTATTTGTAACTTTAGTTTGTACGCTACCCTCCTATTTTAGTGATTAACATGAAAACCCTTGAGGAATCATCTTACCTTCTAAACAGAAGAGAAAGTCTCTTTTGGCAAATGAAAAGAATTTGGCTTATCACAAGAAGTAGACCATTTACAGACTTAGACAATGTCCAAATCTCCATATTGTTCAAAGTACTTAAAATTTTACAATTAGATTTGTATAATTATATTTTTCTAGAAATGTATCACTGTTTACAAAAGTAAGGTAAGGAACACTATTTTTCAAAATACCATTTAAATTTTCCTAACACTGGTAATAATATCCTGATACTGAGAACCTCCAGGTTAAGTTATATGCTTAAGTTTTTTCCAGTGAAGTCTCAGAATAGTTTTGCAGGTTTGTTCATTGCTCTCATTTTTAAATTATTTTTCACATTTGTCCGTGTCCACCTTCTTAAGACACACAAGTGTTTATTGTCACTGCTTCCCGTGTTCTTTCCCAGTACTCTAGTGTGAAGGATCAGACCCCTTTTTATACCCCTATCTCTCTCTCTCTCACGGGTTACACGGCCTTCCAAGAGGGGGAGGTGCAGACAGAATTGAATTTGTGTCTTTTATGCCTATTACTTCAAAGCAACTTAGCCCATTGAATTGTATTCATTCATTAGTTGCCAGGTAAAGGTAGCATTAATGACATTAAGTGTGTTTAACTACTAGCAGTCTCAGGAAACAAGACAAATTGATAACTTCAGTTTTATTGTGCGGTATAGCTGGAGCTGTAACCAAAACATTTCACTCAGCAAAGTCATGCCAGGGTAACTGGTCAAGCTCGTTAAATTGAATGAAGAACCAGATGAGCACAGAGACCTCATCCAGAGAAGCAGACCCAGAAGAGCAAAAATTTACCTCGAAGATAAGGCAGGCTTATAAAACCAAGCTAAGTCTAAGAAAATCTAAATGGAAAAAATGTCGTGTTCAGAACCAGCAGTGAGTGATACAGGTTACAACTCAAAGAGTTACCTACTTGCTTCACGAATTTGTCAAAAGAGAATACTAATAAAGTAGGAGGTTTCACTAAACTTGGGGGTAGTTCAATAAGCTTTGAGTTTATCCGAAGGGTGTGTGTCGCTTGACGATTAGAAGCATATGGGTATAAAGATGCTAATTACATGACAACTTTTTATCTGGCTGTATTATTTAAAGTACATTTTAGGGAAAAATATTTTTCGGTGTATTAATGTATTTAAATTCAGATTGTTTTATGGCATATTTTATAACTATTTTTAAGATTTAGGATGCATTTTTTGCCCATTTTGTTTGTTCCCTATCTTACCTCATCAAGTTCTTTAATTCAACATACTGATGTGAAGTGGAATGGCGCTAGTTTTTTGCTAGATCCCACATGGATATAATGCTTTGAGGCCTAGATTCCTGTACGTTCATGATGCATGATGAGCTTGTCCGTTATCTCAGCAATAAAGGATTTGACCCTAAATGGGGGAATTCCGAGGTGCCGTTGTTAACAGCATCTCTTCTTTGGCCGAAGGCTCACATTTCCGTCATTCTGATGGGTCTCAACCACAGGGCAACTGCGGAAGCACTCACATGCCCCGCGTGAGCCACACGGATGCCCGAGGAACCAGCAAATGGGCCTGTTGCAGGGTTTGGCTCGACACCATGCTGGTAATTACACTTATGTTTGTCACGTGAATCAATGCTTAGGTCGTAATAATTAAGTTTATAGCCCATCTCCAGGGCAGCTCATAAAAAGCTTGGTCTAATGATTTCAGATGAGAATTAAAAGCAGAAATAAAGGTCAGCGAGTAGCCAGGCCTTTGTGACTTTTGTGCCACAGAGTGATCTGCTCACTAAATCACGTGGGCTTGAGCGAGACGAGAATGTCACAGTTAACTTTTCTCATAAACAGAAGCTCTTCCATCATGAGTGACAGGCCAATAGGCGACGAAAGGTTAAATACACAGCATGTTTCCTTAACTGAGATGAATCACACGAAAACATGCCAGTGGATTTAGATGTCCGCTTAGACTGGGAAACGATTTATGTAGTTCTTAACTGTCGTCACCCTCAGATCCCCTTATGACATAGTATATAAATTGACCACGTGCTCAGATACCTCTAAGATATTTTCAGGTCTTTTCATACAAGAATTTTCAACTTGGAGATCAGAGACGATTTCAAATACATCTTTTAAAAAGTTAGTTTCTTGGAGCCAGTTTCCATCATTTGTTCTTTCTCTAGGTATTCTTAGAAAACTTGGCGTCGAGAGCAGGATGCGAAGGCATTGTTAAGGGGAAAGTTAGCACGGATTCCCATTTATTACGATTAAAAATAGGATCGGTCAGCATCCGCTTTCTGATAACCGGATCTAACAAATACATTACAGTTCCTCTAGTTAACCATTTAAAGAGCATTTGGGCATGTGTATTTATAGTCATACATTCTTATGGTAAACCAATTTTGATTTAATATTTACCGAGCCATATGCATTGATGCCGCCACGTCCTAGATCACAAGCTCGCTAACAAAGGCCCAGTGCACCACTGAAAAGCATCTATTTTACTCTAGGAAAAAAACAAAGAGACTTGACCTATATTTATTGAACACAAATCTTCTAAAAAGATATTTTAAATAATTTATGTCCATTCCCTGTTTGTAAACAGCAGGATTACTAGTTGGCTAGTATTTCTTTTTTCCTTAATATTGCTTTTTCACACCTTTTGCCAGGGCTCCCAGAAAATGTTTAAAAGCAATTTTCTTGATTATTTGGTGTGATTTTATGTATTTCTAGTGATCTTCCCCCCATACTGATCTATTTTTAAACCCAGAGATGTTGGATATCAGAGAGGCTGTAATAGCCAAAAAATTAAATACTACAAGCAGAGGTGATCTTCTAAAGCAGGGATTTACATTCAGCGTATTTCAGGCTGCAAGTAAATCAGATTTTATTTATGATGTTTAAGAATAGCAATATTCGTTTAGTCAGCTTGAAGTATTAAGTGTCCATAAATAATCAAATCAGTCATGAAACTGATGTGACTCATTCATACTCCTCTGCTAGACAAAGTCAATTATCCCAAACTATGCCAGGCAATTGATGTGCTCAGTCACCCTGGGAAGTGATGTCCATAGTTTTTAATCAACCTGTCAGATCTTTGGGATGAAAATCAGGTCAGGATGCCATAGAAGCACTGACTGGAAATAAATCATTTGCCCTTGGGTAAGTGACATGCCCGTTTCTAACCACCTGTTATTATTCACATGCTCTTCTCAGCAACTCTGACACTTCATCCAACTTTGAAAAATAATCCCAAAGGTTTTGAAGATTTCTGTTTTGCTAGAGAGAGAGATTTGGTCTAATTCAGTATGCATCAACTCTCTTTCATGGAGACGATTTGTGAGATGCTTTTATTTGCACTTTCTCTGTCAAGTATTTACTGCTTCTGTAAACTATTTGACCGAACTGGATTTACAGTGGATTGTTCCCACCATTTGGAATGTGCTCATTTTGCCCAATCTCTCTGTAAGTGGTTGTTTCCGGTCTTGCTGTATCTGTGAAGCTTGCTGTACTGCCTTTTGTATATCAAGTTTGGAAAACAGTTGATTCAACTTTTCTTTGAAATTTTATTTTTTTTTTAATTTTCTTATGAATCTGAAAGTATAGAACTGAGAAACATATTTATTTGGTTATCTAATTTTTCTTTTGTTGTATTTGACTATGTTACTCCAGTTAAAATAAAACCACCTTGGTGAAAAGACAAGGCAGTTTCTTTGCATTTATTTGACTATATGCCACAGTACCTGAAAAGGTTTGCCATTCATATGAAGACAATTTTAAGTAGTTATGACAGATATCTCTGCTTCCAAAGATTCTCTCTTCCCCAAGAAGGAAGACCATCCTTCCCAGGGTGTCAATGGCCCTGATCTATTGCGGCCAAGTTGGAATTATTTCCCTTAAACACAATCCATACCAGAAGCACAGAACTAGATGCCGTGAGCAGTTTAAAAGAATCCCAAGTACAGACTATATAATGATTGATTTCACCAAACGAATCGGGCTAAAGTTTTTAAATGTAGAGAAAGTACACCTGAGGGAAAAAAAAATGGCATCAAAGATCCTATTGGGGCTCACTCCCCTTGACGTGAGAGAATGGAGTGCCATAAACTAAAAAGATATTGGCTGTTTGGAGCGCAGTGCTATGGCCTGGGACAAGTCAGTCGTATGCACTGTGACATAAAATGAATATATTAAGTCTGATCGATAGTTAACATGATGTTGTTGATGAAACAGCAGGCCAATGTGATTATGTAAGTAGTAATAAAGCGCTTGAGTGGTCAGGCAATACCTATCTTATTGATAAGAATATAGTGCTTCAGCTGAGCTGCCTTTATAAGAAAAACGGCAAAACAAATCATTTTTGCATCCGTGAAGTTCTAAATAGGAGGGCGCTAACGCACCATTGAAGTCAGCGGTTCCACTCCTAGAAACCAAGCAAGGCTAGGCTTAGGGGCCCCGTGAAATCTCTGACATAGCGTGCAAGCAGATTTGCATATCCTTCTGGGGTATGGGTTCATAGTTTTCACTTCATTTCAGAAAGGTCCGTGAAGCCCTCCCCATCTCCCCCCAGTCCCCCACCAAACACATACATACGAAGAACTCTGTCACAAAACGACACCCTCTGGGGAGCAGTAAGGGCGTTTTAATTTCTCTGTAGAATAAATCACTAACATTATAAACATAAGCCTACAGAGATGAGGAAAGTTTTAAGTATCTAAATAATCTCAGTGACTTTTTTCATTGAACATGACTATAAGAAAACATGGCAAGAGATCAAGAAACCGTATTTATTGCTTCTTTGGTACAACCAGAGACGTTACCTCAAACCTTTAAAATAAATAATCTCATCAATAAAACTTACGAATGGCAGGATATTAAGATTCCTTCTTTGCTTTCACACAGAAGAGCCCAAAATATTCTTGGGTTTGGGATACAGTACAGTGCCACAGAAATTCAAGCTGATGCTGAGAACCCACACGTGCAGCGTGGAAACCGCTCCGAGCGGCACAGCATCCCTGGCCCTCCCGGGATTTGGGGGGATTTTGAGCACCAGTTCTATTGACGGTAGTGGGGTTTCTTCATAGCCAGTCTGGTAATCATAGAGCTGAAACTATCATCTGGGAACAAGCTCTCAATAAAAAATGAAAATAACTGCCGAAACGGAGGTAAACCAAACAGCTGTTTTCGTTTATTGGCTCAGTGGCCCATGACGTAACACACACGGATAGCACACGGAAGTTCCAGATCCTGGGGACAGGACTACTGTCAGTTCACTTCAAGGGAAGGTTTTATTTGTTAGTTTGATCGATGACCCTGTGGCTCCTCTCCAAGGAAAAGGAAAGAGGATTTATTGACTAGCACCATTGTTCTAAACCTGACGGTCAGGTGGGACTTCTATCAATAGAATAACATTGAAGGTAATGCACCGTCACCTGGGCCCTGGCTTCTGGGGGCGTTTCTCCTCCAAGCCCTTCGCCAGGCATGGTTTGTGCAGACAGCCGTGCTGCACTAAGCCTTTGATGGATCTGGACCTTTGCTATTAAATGCCCGCTGCCCAGCCTGTAAGGTGCAGGAGGCTGGCTCGCAGAAACCAGGAGGGCCAGGAGGCCCCGGGGGGCCGGGTACACCAGGGATGCCTGCCACCCCTGGGGGGCCTCGCTCACCATCCCGGCCATTCCTCCCGTAGCTGGCAGGACCTGGGTCACCTGAAACACACAGAAGATGCACGTGTAAGCAGGAGTGCCCTCATGGCTAGAGACACAGAAGGCACTGGACCCTCCACCCTGCCCACTGCCCGGCAGCGTGTACAGAGGCCCTTGCCAGACGCTTTTAGAAATGACAGAGGGTGATTGAAGCAGGCAATGATGATGACAATGATATAATAAAACTCCTTCATTGCAGTTGGGTTGCTTCAAAATTAAAAGTGTTAGGAGACCTCACATCTCTCACCCCTATTTCCATCAGAGGAGCTGAACTGCACAGTATGGTAGCCTCTCTACACAGACACCTACCGAGCCTGGGAACGTGGCCGTGTCAAATCGGGGGTGAACCGTAAGTGCCAAACACATCTGGACTTCGATTTTTTAATAATTCATTAATAACTTTGGTACTTATTACACGATGAAATTATAATATTTTGGACACTGGGTTAAATAATTATTAAATCATACTATAAATATACATATTAAATATTATTAAAATGAATTTCACCTGATTCTTTGGACTTCTCTAACGTGGCTGCTAGCAGATTTAAAATTATGCACTCAACTCATGTGGTTCATGTTGGGTTTCTTTGAACAGCACTCCGCTAGCAGCTGCCCTTATTTCTAGCGGGTCCTCAATTTCCGGGCAGGGAGATGTACAGCTCGGTGGTGGGCAGATGCAGACAGGTGGCTGGAAGTTCTCGCTCTGCCATTTATGAGTCAGGTGACATCAGCAAGGCACTCACCTCCCCGTCTCTTCTTCTACAGGACGGATGACGCTTGCCTGATAATAAAGTTCCGAGCCTGAATGCACCCGATAAATGACTATTCGAATGCTACTGATTCACGTCTCTTAGAAGACTGTGCAATGCACCCTGCAAAGCTGACGGAAATTCCTCTCATCGGGGGCTTTACCCCAGCCGGAACTACACGGTGTCCTAGGTTTCTTGGGGGCGTCGCTTTCTTTTGTCAAGTCCAGAGGTTGTTCGGTTCACCCACGAACCAGTGAGGCACGGCTCCCGTAACCGAGAGACATTTCTGCTGAGCGGCACACGCAGTGACCACAGGGGCAGGGAGTGTAGGTTGGGATGGGCAGCTCCTGTGTTTAAGCAGTGTCACCAGAACACAGCGTGGCCATTAGTTTCCATGTTGCCCCAGCTGCTTTGGCACTACAAGGGCACAGGTGTGGGCGGCAACAGAAGCCACCTGGCCTGCAGACCTCAAAGAATGTGGTCCTTTACCCAAAAGGTTTGCTGACTCCTGATGTAGTAAAGAAACTGCCCTGGATTAAGAAATTCGCCCTCTGTCTTCACGGGAGACCACAGACGTAATGGAAGCTGTAACACATCAGGGTTATGGAGGCAGCAGGAAGGGCTGAGGCATGCGGTGACCTGGAGAGTGGACGCCAGCATGTCCCCGCTGCCATGGCGAACACGGGCCAGGGCTGCCAGACCTCTGGTCATTTCAAGGGCAACTCAAAAGCTGAGTTTTTAAATAAATAGCTTTCCTTTTTTAGCCACTGATTTACTTTTTTAACATGTGTAACGCCAGCCTCCTGCCTAAGACCTAAAACTTCAGGGAGTTTATTTTCTACTACACAAGCAGTATGAAAAAGCAGAAGGAGAACTTTTTTTCAAGTTGAGCTCCCCCATTTTAACACAATCCAGGAGAGGGTGTTTTCAATGACTGAGTTTATTCCAGATTCCTGCTTATCCTCCAAGGAAAGAGTTGATGAAACCGTCCTGTCTCCCCTGGATTTATTCTAAGACAAGCACATGGAGTCCAAGTCTTCCTCTGGCAAACACAGCAAGTTGCCCTTTGGAGCGTTGGGTAAGTCATCACCAGCCCACCAGCATTCCCTTTACCCTGTGCCACTCACTGGCGATCCCACTTTCCTGGTGTGTAAACTGAGAGAGTGAAGGTGAAATCCAGAGTCACACAGTCACGTGGCTAGAAAGCGCCGGAGTTAGAAATGAGGGCCCTGGACCCCTCCTCCATCCTAACTGTGCTTCCACACCTACTGATTTGCTAACTCTGACAAGGTGCATCCATGAGTGCGTGTGTGTGTGTGTGGTTTAATTCATTGAGCCTGAATTGACTGAGAGGCAGAAAGAGACACGATAGCCAAGCATTACTAACGATTCTTCTGCAACTCTATCACAAGTGACTAAAGCTATTTTTCTATTTTTCTGAGGTTTCACCCTGTAAAAATGGCCAGAGGAAAAAAATAAAACAGCCTTCCCATAACAGCTTATGAGTTTCTGGTGAGCCCTGACCTTGGGCATCTACCCTCCAAGGTGCTCTAAGGCTATTAGGTGGGAGCCAAATTTGGGGGTGACACCAAGTCATTCAGGAAGTCCAGCAGCTGCATTAGCAAATATTTATAAACCACTTTTCAACTCTTAGGAGGAAGAGAAAGCACGGATCTGAAGCGTTCTAATTCTGCTTTGCCTACCTCACGGGTCTGTAGCTACACTAACTGCCTAACGATTACACAGTTTTCTGAAATTTCAAGGACCTGTAAAATGTTATTGCCAAACCTCTCATGATTTTTTTTTAAAAAAATGAATGTCTGTGCCATTCTCTGAGCTGACAGGAGAGGGCAGTCGTGTTACACTGACAGAGGCGCAACCTGGCTGGAACATTCTTTGGGACCTAATAAATAATACCTGCTACGAAATAAAAGGGGCTGTACATGGCAGGCTTTAAAAACAAAACAAAACCTGGAAATAATTTTCAGCATTAAATAGGGAATTTCTTACATTTCTCACCTCGTACCGAGCTAACTTTTGTGGTGTTTGACAAAGCACATATGTTCAAGGATGTGGTGTATAAAGTGGCCTGTTTACATAAGATGCCCACGACCGAATAAAATAGTGGAAACAGGACAGCAGTGGAAATAGAGGAGAGATGACTACTGCTACACATAAGCCTAAAACAGGTGTGCCCCTTGCGCTTGGGGACTTTTTCCACCCAGTATTCACAAGTGAATCTCACCTATCTGCAAATCTTGCACAAGAAACCTGGCATGATGAGCGCAGGTCAGCTCTAACCTCCCGGGCACATTCACACACGACCATCATTTAACTTCCTCCTTCCCCCAGTGCGTTTAGATGCACAAAGAGGAAGTGAAGACCCACTCTCAAATATTTTTTCTTCAAATCCCCAGAGTGCCAAGGAACTAGTCCCCAATGGACCAGGCAGGCAAAAAGATACTGGTGATGAGACAGCCCCATCCAACAACCCACCGAAGGCCTCTGGTAAGAGACGGGAGGTAGGGGCAGGGATGGGGTCTAAGGCCCCAGGGGTCTCGCTCGATTTGGTCCCCACAGCTCCACGAGAGAGGCAGAAAGGGGATCGTGCCGAAGTCAGATGCCAGGATGGCGAGATAGACTCAGCACACACCCGGACCACCAGTGCATCATTTTGTCCACGATGTGAACCTGGGCGTGTGAACACTGGCCTCTGTCACTTACTACCTGGGAGACCTTTGTCAGGGCCTGTGACCTTTGTAAGTCTGTATTTCTTCAAATACAAAAGGAAGAAAAAATAATAATAATAGTAATGAGCTAAAATTGCAGAATGTTTGCCATAAGCCACGCGCTAACCTAAGTGCTTTCCATGTATGAACACATCCACAGACCCTCCTAGATGAGTCCACAGGACAGATAGGGGTATAACCCCCCAATGTGCAGGGGACAAGCTGAGCACACAGAGGTGGCAGAGCTGAAAAGGAGTGACACAGCAGAACCTACCCCAGGGCAGCCTCGTTCGGAGCCCATCCTTCTTACACACCTGCCCTGCTGGCTTCTGGCTGCAGGTGAGAAGCAAGCTACGCGATTTAGGTCTACGTTTAGACAACAGAGCACTACAGCCAAAGTGACAGTCCATGTCACGGTCATAATAATAACCCGTGGTCCACATTAGGCGATGTACCATCACAAACCCGAAGGGCACATAATACTTAACACTGAACAAGCTGAGAGAAGGAGGGGAGACCGAAAACGAAAACAGTCCAGAAAGAATAAAGCAATCCTGACAACTGATAGATCATGAAGGTATTAGTTAACCTTTTTCCAAGGATATCAGATGTGTTAGCACCAAGAATGACCAAAGGATCTCCTTTCCATTCAGGAGAATTCGAGTCCCAAATCCAACAATCGGGACAACAAAGGGGGTCACAGAATACCCTGTTCTGCAGGCTCCTTCCTTTACATAAGACGTATATTTACCTAAAAGGTTTCGGACAAGTTCCTGGACACAGCCCTGGTGAAGGTCCCCCCAGGTCCTGAAGTCCTCGTAAGGTCATGTTTGTGAGAGACCAGAAATCACATTCCTAACCACATTCCATGCTCTACGGGAGAAATGAAAAATGGCCCAGCCTCTCAGTGGATAATGAACGAGTGACATGATTTACTGTGACCCGGCACTTTGCATTTGTGATGTGGAGTTGAAGCAGATTTCACGGAGGGAATGTCCGAGATGTCAGAGGTGGCACCGGCTGACAGAAGAGTAGCGTCTTCTTACTGAGAGCCAGGGGAGGAGCCACAGGGACTGAACTAGGGTCCACCTCTGACCTTCATCTACCTCAAAACGCAGAAGTGCATTTGTTACGTTAATAATAGTACCAATAGCTAACATTTCTTGAGCACCTACTATAGCCGGAAACTGTCCTAAGCGCTCCACGTGGATTGATTTTTCTTTAATTCTCAGAATTAGCCTCTCCGGGAGGTGTGATTATTGACTATTATCACTCTTTCGTAAGTGAGGAAACAGGCACTGGGCAGTCAAGAACTTGCCTGATGTCATAAAGCTAGTAAGTGAGAGTCAGGATTGGAGCCCAGATGTCTGATTTATGGAACCCACACTCCCAAGAGTCCACTTTCAGAGGGCTCACTTTAGAGGCGGAATGGCCCTAAAAGCTCTTGTTCAGGGACTTGATGGATTTGGGAAACTGTCATCTGAGTACGTTTAGGTGTAGACAAGGGGATGTGAGCTGACCCAAAACCAAAGCCCCAGCTCAGCTGGTGCCTCAAGGAGAATGCTAAATATGGACCCTTTGAGCCTGTGTGGTAAAGCACCGAGGAGACTGCACGCTTCAGAAATCTGGCCTTAATTTTTTCAAGAATAATCTGTAACTCCGATTTTTCACTAAATAATGTCAAATATCCTCTCAATGAAAATGTAACAAAAGCACAGAAAAAGAAAGACCAGATTTCCAAGTGGTACCAGGAAGGGAGGGGCAAGGGCTGGCAAACGGCAGAAAGGAAACGGAAAAGGGCAGGTTTCGGGGTCCTGAACTGGGGAGCCCACGAAGCTTTTTAAGAAATCAGATTTAAGTATTAATTCCAAGACCAGCTGCAACAAATCGAACCATTGTCATAAAGGAAATGCAATGAGGGCCAGGCAGAGATGCCAGAGATGCCTTGCCCTACCTTACCACTCGCAGCACAGATGACAGGTGTGCTAAAAAGCAAACCTGTGGAGCCCCCTGGGGCAGAGCAAGGGCCCCGGAGCACCAGGCAAGCCCGAGGTGAGGCATAACGCGCCCCCTCGTGGCATCCCGGGACACTGCACAAATCCAAGCTGGTCTTTCTCGATCTTCCCATTTTTAAACTCAAAATGGGGTTTATGAACAGATTTTTAAAAAATAAGAGTCACCAGAAATGATCATGTATTTCTGTAAAGGAAAATCGTGCTAATAGTGCAAGTTGCTGATCCAAGAACTGTTATTTGTCAACCAAATGCGCAAAGGAGAAATTGTCAGTCTCTCCTATAAATACATAGATAACTAAGTAAATGGTACAGACGATATTTTATCAGCTTTCAAACCTCCTATTCCTACCATTGATAAAGGAGAAGCGCACTCGGTAAATTCTGTTTTCCTTTTCTCTCTTCTAAACATCCATCAATGAATCCAGACTTTATTGTTTACTAAAATCTTCTTGTCTGGGTCCCACTGAACTCCAACCAGGTTTTCTGTCCTTTTCCAATCATAAAGGCTTCCTTTTCCAATCACAAAAATTCATCAGTTTGTGAAAACATCTCGACAGCCCGTGAATCACCGTTTTAGAAAGGCAGTGTTTGAGCTATCTCCAAATGCATTTTTTAAAAATTCTTTTAAATGAGAAAGCCAAACCCAGGAGCAATGCAATGGATAATTAGAAAGCAATGATGCTTCAGGCTGCAATTATAGCCACAATCGGCTATGTAAGCCTCCGGCAGAATTAGAAAATGATCATTTCTTTTGCTAGATTTCCCTCAACGAAGTTTTCCAAATCCACTGTGGGAGTGTGGGGCACCCCCCTGCACAAGCCCCCCTCCCTGGACTGGTGTCCCCAGAGCTTTGGGGCCCTTCCTGAGCCCTGGCCCAGCAGTGATCAGAGCGTTTGCTGGGAGACTGCAGGCCATTCATGCTCTTCAACTGAACTGGCTTTCGGCCCGCGAGGCTGCTTCTGTGGTTGGACCTGGCAGTCATTCCCAACGTGCAGCAGCCTGGACTCTGGCCACAGAGTAGCCAGTGTGTAAAGAGAACAGACGGCCAGTGAGAGGACCCGGGCTCTCACACAGAGGCCTCTTTGTCACCTCGGTCGACCCAGCTGGGATGCGTCCTTGGGCATGACTTTCGTGAGTAGGAATGTTTCAGGTTTATTTATTTGGGGATGTGGGCCTCTGGAGGGTCTGGATGTTTGAAGGAGAAGCTTTTAGAATAAGATGTCAGTTACTCCCCATGCGTCACGAATAGCTGAAGACGTGGACTCGTTTTCCTGCTGCTCTGACTTTTTGGTTTAAAGGAAAAGAAGAGGGAACTCTCAACTGGGCTAGAAGTGGACAGGACCCCATTCATTCAGAATTTTATAATGAGTGCATTGTGGTTGGACCTTGACACTATTTTTTAAAGTACTTATTCAAGAAAGTAATATTTCAGGGAGGGAGACGCAAGAGGGAAGAGATATGGGAACATATGTATAGGTATAACTGATTCACTTTGTTATAAAGCAGAAACTAACACACCATTGTAAAGCAATTATACTCTAATAAAGATGTAAAAAAAAAAAGAAATATTTCAAGCCCTGACATGTATTTTCTCTCAAAGAATACAGACGTGATTTACAGACTATTTAACTCCTCATTAAAGTTGGTTCTGAAAGATCCACGCCAGCCGTCACTGCACATCACATGATAAACAGAGGTAAACAAAGAGCAGTTCTTTAAAATGTGATCCAATTCAGACCACCCACTGGCTGCCAAGTTCCCACCTCATCCTGTTTATTCTTACCTGGGAGACCTGAAGTCCCGGGCAAACCTTTGGGACCTCTTCCTGGGGGGCCACGATCACCTCTTTCCCCCATGTCACCTGCGTTTCATTAGAGAAATGTTATTTTTCTATATGTCTATAAAAATAAAGTTCCATATTTTTAAACTTAAAGCAAAGCCTACATTCAGAAACCAAAAAGTAGGAAGTTGCCACAATGTAGGTCGTAGTAAGTATGTAGCAAGGCAAAAATCAAGTTAATTATATTGAGATCTAAGAGGGAAAAAAATCAAATGATCATATCTGTAGATGCTGGAAAGATATTTGACAATTAAACATGCATCCCTGATACAACAGTCAATAAAATAAGACTCAGACTATTTCCTTAACATGATAGAGTATATCTATCTCAGCACTGAAGCTGGCATAATGCTTAACGAGAAACACAGAGCAGCTTCATTATAGTCAGAACATTACAAAGATGCCCACTTTATCATTATTATTTATTATTTGGTTTGAGCCATCCCTAGTTTCAGATGATATGACTGCTTATCTTAAACCCTAGAAAATCAACTCAAAATCTACTAAAAGCAATAAAAGAATTCAGTAAAGTAGCAAGGTACGAAATACATGGAAATCAATCATTTTCATATACACAAACAACAATCAGTGATAAGATGTAGTGAACAAAGATCCCACTTGTAATAGCAACTAAATTATCAAATAACTAGGAAAATAAGTTTAATCAGAAATATGCAGATCCAACATGAAAACAGATCCCATCTGTAACAGCAACTAACTTACTAAATAACTAGGAATAAGTTTAATCAGAAATATGCAAATCCAACATGAAAAAAAATTGAACAGAAGATTGAAAACGATCTAAATATCCATTAAAGGGGTTAAATACACTATGGTACTTCCACAGAGCAGAATACTATGCACAGGTGAAGAAGAACCAGAAAGGTCTTTGAAATGATCCCCAAGATATTGTTAAGTGAAAAAAGCAAGGCCCAGATCACTTACTAATGGACAGCATGATTTGTTGTTAAAAGGATGTAGGGAAAATAAATATATTCATAGATCCTTTATAGCATCACTGGTAAGGGTATGTAGGAAACTAATAATAGAGATTCCCTAATGAGAAGGATAAAGGAAACCAGACAGATGGGAGACAGGGGTGGGAGAGACACTCTTCACTAAATATCTTTTTAGACATTTTAATTTCTTGAACAATGTAAATTTAGTATCACCAAAAATAAATTAATGAAGTTGCAAAATTTAAAGTGTGTTGTCATCAGTGCCTCCATTTCACTTCTCATTATTTATAGGGAATGTACTTTGGATTGCAACCAACCATGTGTGTTTGCAAGACAGTTGATTGAATTCGGGGATTCGGCAGCCACAGAACAAAGTTACATGAATTATCCTGGCCCTGCAGAGACCAAACTTAGAAACTTGGCCTCATTAACAAGATGACCTAATACCTTAGTTAACTGGTCCTAAATGACGTGTGCCGCTTCTGGTACAAGACCAGTCCTACTATCCCATTGGTACAGTAGTATATTATTATTTCACTACATTGTTACAAGACGCAATAGCATTTTGCAACAAATTCTATACATAATCACTTTTTCCAAATATTCGCCCAACCTCATTGAATATCGACAGGTTTGTTACAATTTAAAAAACAAAGTCACAAGTGCACAACAAAAATAGGAAGAATATCTATACAACCATCTGTGCATTTGTCAAATAGTCAAAAATCTCAAATTGTGACATGAATGTTTAAAAGTTACCATACTTTAACTTTAGCTGTGAATGTCCTTATGTGAACATTTTTATGGTGAATCAACTACATTTTGAAATCAATTTAAATTTTATAGATACTGTGAAAGGATGTACAGCTCAGCTTGAACTCATACATAAACTAGTTGTTTCTTACACTCATCGTCAGTATGGCCTTACTGTATTAGGAAGATATGACAATTAGCATTTTTAAAACTAACAGCTTAAGCTCTCTTGTTAACTTAGCAATTTAAATGTGTCACCTCGTAATTTTTGAGGCTGGCAGTGAGAATGTGCCACATTTTCTGAAGACACGAGATGAAGATTATAAATTAAAATGCAACTTTCACAGCGATAGTGACAGTTAAGCGCGCTCTAGCATGAAGCCGCACCAACTTCAAAATGTTGTTTGCAAGGAATAAGACCGCGGTCTCTTTAAAAGGACTATTTTATATATCAATATATGTTACCAAACGTATAGGAAAAGACGGAAATAAAGGGCGAAGTGATGTGAAATTTCCGGAGAGATATGAAAACTCTTAAGGAAAACAATGGTAATTCTAGAACTGAAAAGTACAAGACCTGAAAGTAAAAATTCATTGGATGGGATTGCCTGCATATTTGGATACTGCAGAATAAAGGGAATACAGACAGCATGGTGACAGTAATAAACAGCATTTTATGATACATAGAATAACATTTTCTCCAAATTAAAAAAAAGACCTCTGTCTTAACTTTGAAACTGGTTTTTGGTGATCAGTCATGGGAAAACACATTTTCGACGAGCCCCGGGACAGAGCCACACTGCAACCTGCAGCGGCCATCGTGTGTCAGCTCTGCTACCCCCAGGGTTAATCTACTTCTTCAAACACTGGTCACGTCTTCCTTCAAGACATAGGAAACCTGGCTCAGGGAACTAAAGTCCACCTTTGTTAGCCTATTGTCAGAAAAGACATATAAAAAGCTTGTAAAATAAGCTTTGGATAAGGTATGAAGAGAATAAGCAGTTTGATTCAAAACAGAGTTGGGGAAACTAGAGAAGTTCTCATTGCTCCAAAATTGCTCTCAATTTCAGCTGTTTGGAAGCTATAATTGATGCTCTACCTCCAGGTGAGCAGATTAATAACAGAAAAGGTGAGTCTCAGATATGCCCGGCGTACTTTCCCCAGCCTTCGTTAACACAGGGACACGTCTGCTTGACCCACACTAGAAGATCTAAAAATACACACAGCCTTCCTCAAAGGGAATTAAAATAAACAAACCATGAACATTTACAAAGAGTATTTATGACATGAAAGACTGACTTAATTCTAAGTAAAGTGGACCCAGGGCCAGTCAGGTGCCTTTCGCGTTTCTGCTCAAGCATCACATGAAATGAACACACAGCTCTAATGTGTTTGTGTAAAAGTGTGCAAAACATGTCGGTGAAAACCAAAAAATACACAGACATGATGGAAGCTTTCAGTACGGTCTGAGGCTTTTTTCTACTAGCTCCTGTTAAAAATGTTCCACTGTGTTTTTCAAAGTAACTTTTTAGGAAGAAAACAGTGATTTGATTAAGACATAGCCTGAACTATTAAAAGCTTTAGTAAAACTTATTTGTTTTAATAAAACTTATCTACATAGGAATTTCTCTGGAAAAAGACCCTCAGAGCAACTCTATGGCAAACCAAGACTTCCACCATCCCTTCTTTGTTAAGCATGAAAACAAAAAAGCAACAGGTGACAATGAAACACGTCTCTTCTCCGATTGGTGGAACAGTTAAGTTTCAAATGGTGATGTGTTTATTCTCAAGGAAAATTTGTTTTACTACCTTTGGGTAGTAGCACACTATGTGTTTTCTACTAAGTAGGGCTGCTAATGTATGTGGTGGACAAGAAAGGTCAAGTCCAATTACCTAAAACCATACATCTCCAAATGTATGACAGCAGCAACTGAAATAGAAAATCTGATTATTCCTTTCTGCCCACACCCCAAATCTTAAGAAGTAGAACTCAGAGGAGATGCTGCTTTAAAGGAACCCAATGCCAAGAAAGGTATGGAGGAGGGCGGGGTGAGAAAGCTCTTTAGAAAAAAGAAAAGAACTATCTCACTTCTAGATTATAGGCTATGTCATAAACACCACAGAAAAAATAGGAGGAAGCCCCTTATAACATCAAACTCTGCTTGATGAATGAACTTAGTGCCAGAGACATTTCTCAGGTTCCAAATATAGGAATATATTTTTCTTCCCTTCAAAATAAGGTTCACTGCGGGAGTCAACCCAGCGCAACCCAGACACAATTCCACACTGTGATTCCCAGCTTCCCAGAAAGTGTCCAGATCATGTCACCTTTGTTTCCAGAGCTTCTCAGCCCTGATTGCTTGTTCAGATAACCTGGGGAATATTTTCAAAGCCTGGGGCCTAGACCAAGTCAATCAAAATCTCTGGGCACGGGACCCAGACGTGAGCAGTGTTTAAAGCTCCTTGGGTCAGTCCCATGTGGAGCCCAGGCTGGAGAAGGCAGCCCTCAGCAGGCTCTCCTGGTGGAGCAAGTACACAGACATTTTCCTGTCTTAGGAAGTAAGATGGGACTTCAGGAGCGGGCTCTTACTAACTCAAAGTCAAGATCAGCCCCAAATATGGAGACTTCCTTTTGGCCAGAGAAAACAGGGCTGTGATCCTCTTAGCCCTACAAGGTGGTCCTTCCCTGGGAAGGCGGGACCTTGCCTGTAGGGTAAGGACCACCCTACACTTGTGCATTTCCACTGCGGGCCCCTCTCCAGAGTTGCTGACTCAGGGGGTCTCTGGTGATGTTGATGCTGCAGGGACCACTCTTTCGGAACCGTTGTACTTTAGTTCACTTCAGTGAACTCACCAAGGCAGAGAAGTTATCCGTGGGCTGGGGCACAACAGGGCGAGCTCAGCCAGCAGTCCGCCCACAGCAAGGAGTTCCCTAGAATGGTTTACGGAGCGAACGGGGCCCGACCACAGGGAGAGCACCTCCGCTATGTATTCCTGAATGCAAGCTCAAAGCAGGACCAAGATGAATGAATGGCTAAGGGGTTCTTTCAGAGAAGAGGTCCAGATCTCTTTAAGGTGAACTCGGAGCTCTCTCCATATGATTTTGTCCAGCCTCCAAAAACATGGAAATCGTGTCAGATTTACAGGAGGCCCCAATTAGGGCTCTTTTTTTTTTTTTTTTTTTAACACGCAGCTCTGCACATGCCAAAAAAACAAAAAACGTAATTAACAACACTGTTCCAGCTGAGAGTGTCGTGAACCAAACACATCAGGCATTCATCTACAGATCCCGAAAGGCATCTTGTTTGACCTCTGACCGTTAGCACCATAATATTTATCCCTAACTGGAGCACCACTGCCTAAAAAACAAAAGTCCCTCTCTTGTTCTTGTTGCCACATTTTTCTGAAGTTCCCCAGAGAGCTGTCAGTCACTTATCATGATGCAGAAACTCTGCACTTTTAGTCCCTTCTGTCGATTATCCCAGGCCCACCAGCCCCCATGCTGACATACTCACCTCATCTAGCAAACACCATCAGAGGCAGCCAGTTCTTCTGCAAATCCTGCAGAATACCTAACACACTCACAATCCTGCTGGCCTACAAAATACTGGTTTCCAGGGCTTAACTTGCTTTAAATAAAAGGAGAAGAAACAAACTCCCTCACACCCTCTCACATGTTAAGTAAGGAATAAAGTTGTACCTCAGAGCCGGAAAAAAAAAAAACAAAAAAACAGCAAAACTGATATCCAACGTCACTCTTTAAAAGAAGAGGGAGGCGGCTTTGATGCATGCTGTGATTTTTCTGATGTCCTGCTAACAAATTTTGTTACTTGAAGTAACAGATAACATTCAAGGGCCAGTTGCCATCTTAGAAGAGTTCTACAATGATATTAAGGTCTCAAAAAAAAAAAAAAAAAAAAAACTTTAAAGATCCTTTACCAGATCCTGTAAAGTTTACCTTGAACTATGATTAAAGCAGTGTAACTGTAAAAGATTGGTACCAAAAGTCAAGGGACCTTAATTCCAGTATTGGGTCTACTGTCGTCACACACCAAGGCCAAGAAAATATCAAACGATAGTTTTCTAATCTTTACCATCACCACAGTAAAAGAGAACAATCCATCTTCTTGTCTCCTAGATACCTGGCACTTTAGGACAAGTGAATCCATCTGAAAAAAAGCCAGTGTGTGTTCCTGGTTCCACATGGACAAAATGCCTTACCTTTCGCTCCCCTCAAACCAAGAGCCCCGGGGGGGCCTTTCATGCCCGGGAGGCCTCGAAGTCCCATCTGGCCTGGGAAACCGTTCTCTCCAGGGGGGCCTGGGGGACCAGGGGGGCCAGGCCGCCCGGGGAGGCCCGAGGCTCCGGAGTCCGGACGCTTGAGACTTGCAGCCATCTCAGCAAAATGCTCTAAAAGATAATAAACAAAACAGTCCAGGTGAGTCAGAAATATGAAAGTGATTCAAACGAAAAAAGAACTATTTCAAGTGCCTTTTTTCTAAATGTGTCACCAGAGCTTCAAAACTGCTGGTGAGGCCTGAATAAAGCTGGGTCATTGTCCACGGGCTTTCTGCCAGGAGGTTTCACTGGTGCTGCTTTGTTCAGCCCTCCCTGGATGGACCCTGCTGCTCTGAGACGAGGGGATAAAAGACCTTAAACTTCAGGGCTGAGCGGTGTCCAAAGAGATGAGTGTGTCACCTGAACCTGGCTGGTTACCTGAAAACCCGGGACGAAAAGAAAGTGAGCTTCTCAACACAGGAAGAAGTGGACACCCAGAAGCTTCTCAAATGCAAGGACATTGTCCAGAATTAGTACTGAGATACCGTTTGAGACCTAGGCTCACGTTTTTAGTTTGAAGATATTAAGTATTATGAAATACCCTGAGGATTCATGACTTTCTATTAATTCTCCTTCTCAAAAGTTTTTTCACGCTTGGAAGAGACACCAGACATTAAAGAAAGCCTGCTTCTTAGAAATGGTCACTGCCTGTCTTAAAAACTCATAACTGTGTATAGGCTCTTTCAGGAAGCATTAAATAGATTAAGAAACATCCACTAAAACCATGGAGAACAAAACATTTTCCCATTAAAATAGGGGAAATATTTTAGTGTGATTTTTTTTTTTAATTTAGGGTGTGAAGGAGAAAATGAATTGGAAACACATTTCTCAACAAGATTTTTAAATTGTTCAAATGCAGGTATCCTAAGTTGGCCTTATTTAAGTGAGAGTTAACATAAAGTCATAATTTTCTCAACACTTAATGTTTAAACTGGAAATATCCTTTCAAGATAAGATGTCTGCGATATTGGTTTTCAAATATAGAGGGGACCATTTCATTCTGAAAAACTCTATGATTCTACTAGACAAATTATACTATCTCCTGAACACACAAAAGATGAGTGTTTCTTCATGATAGAATTGGTTCCAACCAGAATCAAATAAAAAATAGCAATCACCATAGGCTTCTTATGGGCAGAAGTCTGCCAGTTACTTCTCATATAATCTACAGAGAGAGCCTAGGTCAGTGCCAGGTACACACCAAGTGGTAGGATATTAAGAGGGGAAAGAGCCTGAGAATTTGTGTTCCAAAGGGGGGAAAAAAGGTGTCTGTATCTATGTGTGTGTGTGTGTGTGTGTGTGTGTGTGTGCATGCTTTCTTGTAAATTAACCACATTGGCAAAAAAAAAAAAAAAAAAAAAATCCTGGCGAGCCCAGAAAGGTACTATTTTTCCTTGAGGCTCTAAGCTATTGCACATGGCGACAAATTGTACAGAACAGACGTGAAATTACTAGTATTCAAAGTCCCCCGCCTTTAAAGCACACAAAACGTCAAGCGGCGATGATTTATTTACCTCGAATGACTCGCATGCAAACCTGCTTAATGTGCTGATCGGTGGGTGCTCTGCCCTGGGACAGAAAAGACAAAAGCCAGTTCGTACACGGAACCACAAAGAGGACATTGTTCAATGGTAAACCGACAGGCTGGGCAAGGAAACAGGTGGCTGGAACCAGAAGAGCTGGCCCCATGCTGCTGAGGAGCTGAGGTCTGGCCCTACCCCCGCGCTCCCTCCCTCCTGGGATGGAGTCTCCAAAGGGAAACCCCAGGGGCTGCCCAGCACTCACGGGAGGGCCCTGGATCCCAGGCAGGCCGGTGGCGCCCTGTTCTCCCTGCACGCCTCGCGGGCCAGGGGGTCCTTGTGGTCCTTCCACCCCAGGAAGCCCCCGGCTTCCTTCCGGTCCCCTCAAGCCAGGCTCCCCAGGACTACCTGCCTGGAACACAGGGGCGCACTGTTAGTCCAGGCTAGACACAAGGAATGCGTCTGCTTCATGTTAATACAAGCGCTGCAGTGAAATTGTGGGTTTACTTACGTTCTGTCTCCCAAGCCGTGTTTGCTCAGAGCTTACAAAGCCTCAAGGTAAACACACGTAATGCCACACAGCAGCTCTCCAATCTCTTAGAATTCCAGTTCAAGTAAACGTTTTAAAGATCTTTCTTTGGGGTATAGTTATTATTTCAAAATATTAATGGAAAGAATATATTTTAAAACCACATTCTTCACACTTTAAGTCACTTCTAAGAGCACGTTAACTTTTAATAAAACGTGTTAACTTTTTCTGGCCACAGAAAGGCCACTGAGTTCACAAGACATGTCACCTTCTATATCACCAATACAGAAAGCATAAAATAAAGATATTTCCAAGAACATAAGTTATTTAGCCTTTATAACATTCTTTGGAGAGTTTGAAGAAGCCAGATGTATCCAGGAATTATAAAATACTAACATAAAACTAAATCAATGCATTTAAAATGCCAGAACAAGAAAAGTGAGTCCATAGTTTATCTAAGTATTGAGGAAGTTAAAAATCTAAACATTAAAGATGTTAAAAATAAACTAATTATTTCCTTGGCACGAAAGCATATACCAATTAAATTTTTCTTCTGAAAGCAGACCACTAAAAGTATCTTTAAAGTCCTCATCTACAAAAACTGCTTTAAAGAGAGACTAAATTAATTCACTTTTTCTTAAACTACCTCTGGTGGAATTTGTGGCAAAGTAGTTTCAGTGGACTGCTGTTTTCAGAATAAAAATGAGAAGATAAATGCACAGGAGACATTGAGGGAACACCACTGCTCAAGATCTGAATGTTCATAAAGCAGCTCAATCCTGCTTCTTTTTCATATGCAACATTTATCTAGGAAAAGCCAACTTGTTCAAAAAGCTCAAATGTTTTAAACTGAAGAAATAAAGGTGATGAAGCAAGGCTTTCACTAGACACATCTAAAGAAAGTTCACGGAGTGTGCTTTATACACAAAAAAATTGATATTCACCTTAGTCAACCTGTCAAAATTGCCTCTATGAAGAAATTATGGCTTAAAAGATTTCCAGAGTCAGGGTCAAGGGGGAAAGCTAAGCACGTGTTATGGAACAAAGGTTGGGGAACTGTCGGGTGACGGGTATGCAAGACCATAGCAACTTCTAAAAAAAACCCGGAGGAGAAGCCAAAATGAATTCAGAATGCGCTGAACAGCTGTTGGAAGAAAAAGGAGGCCAAATCAGAGTGTATTACCTTGCTGGCAACATCTGAAATTTTGCTAGAACAAGGAGCAGGGCATTTTTGATGAAGAGATCAAGGGCCAACATGACCAGGACGTCACAAGGGCCCTGGGTCTTTGGGAAAGAATTCCTCACTTGAGGAGGGATACGCTGATGTAGAAACCAGCGTGCAGACCTCACCCGCTTACCAGCTTTGTCTTGCTGAAATCACTGAGAAATGGAAAAGCTTTTCTGTTAGTAACTCTGTCCCCTGATTCTGGGACGGTACACTTCAATTTCATCTGTATTACTTGGGTAATGTCAGGAAAGACAGGGGTAGGAAGGGAGGTGATGGATAAAGAGCTAATTCCTAGTATTATATCCAAATTTAAATGAAATTAACTCATTTTCACACCTGCATTGTCCATCCACTTTTTCTTTTATAACTTGAATTCTCACCTTTGAACATTACTGATTATTTCTAGACAGTGAAGGAGGATTTCCATTACCAAATTCTATCAAGGTTTACTCTTTACATTGTTCTCAATCCTAAACGACTTCTGTCAAAGATTCTTAGGCATAAAGATGTTATTTGAAGCTTGAGACTGTCACATGGTGTTTAAAGGCAGTATGTAAACAGGTAAGATAATATAATGTAACAATTTCCATCTCAGTGCTGTGTGAAGAGCCCAGGGCAGGGCACTGTAACCAAGGCTGGATGGGTCCTCCCGGAGAAAGCTGAGCTGAGGATGGGGTTAAAGCTCAGGTAGGAGGTGCTATTCTAAGGAAAGAGAAAGAGTGTCCAGGACTAGAAGAAGCCCACGAGGCATTAAACAGCATGTGCCAAGCAAAAAGAACCACAGACAGACGACGTTCCAGAGAGGTCGGAGATGAGGCTGGTGAGGCTCATCGAAGGCTTTGTATACATTTGCTAAGAGTCTGAATTATTCTATAAAATGTTATTCTTAAAGGGTTTTAAGCAGAGGAGGAATAGATAGTGGGCTTTATCTTTTCATCTAGATGACATTGGCTGTCACAAGGATAACACATTGGACCAGGACAGAGAGAAGTCAGGGGCGGGGATTCCAGAAACAAGAAGACTTGGAGATTCATGGAAACTGGTGATAGATGCACTTGAGATTGAAGTCTGAGCTTCCTCCTTTCTGCTTGTATTATCTTAAATTTCTTATTTTATTAGATGTGCGTTCCTTTCAAATTAGCAAGCCATTCTAGATTTGCTATTAATTGGTTCTATAATTCTGAATACATCTAATCTCTAAGGACATCAGTTTCGTTTCTGTAAAATGATAAATTGAATGAGATGGTTATTTTCTCGCTCTAATAATTATCTGTATTTTCTTAGGTATCGTGCCTACATCTTACTTCCCCAACGAGAACACACAGAAGATTAAGAAAATTGCTGAAATATTTGCAATGCTATGACTGACAACGAAATTCACTTATGTTCTTGTCACTGCAAAGCACAGGTCGGTTCTTATAAAATAAACCATTTGTGGAAGAAATTACGACGTATATTCAGTGAGCCACTTTAATGTGAAAAAAGAACCCTTCCTTTAGAGTGATTAGGTCAAAAGGCAGTTCCATTTACAGTTGTGAGGTTTTTTCTTTGGACTAATCCACTACTTAGAGAATAAATGTAGGTGTTAATTTCCCTAAAGGTAAATCCTTTTAGAATTGAATTTTCTAGAATGCTTTCATAAAGCAGAGCATTGCATTTTCTATAGCTTTATTCATATTTTTATTTTTTATACCGTTACTGTTCATTATACTTACAGATCCCTTTGGGCCAGGTAATCCTATATCTCCCTAAATCAATAAAACAAAATTATATTAGAACAATGTTTACTAAGAACTCTAAAAAGCTTATCATGCTGCCAAACTCAATAGAAAACCATGAACAGAACCATGACACCACAGAAAAAAATTAGATTCACAATTTGGATTCTGGTCCCCTCCCGGCCTTTGGCTAACTTGTCTGTTAAATAATAGGGTTGAATCACAGCTCCCCAAGGCTGCATTCAGATTTAAAATGCTAGGTGTGGAGAACTGAAATGTGCCAGTCAAAAGACATTAAGCTAGCATGCTGTTATAAAACATAATAGACATTTAAACCAGATGACTTCATTTCTGAAACTCTAACAATATTTTTAAACTCATCCCCAAAAGTCTATCAAACCAAATATGCATGCTCTTATGCTTAAAAAAAAAACCTTGACTATCTCCCACCACTAGTTCTAGGTATGAATTCAGCTCATCTTAGCACGTCAGTGCATGTCCACTACAAAACAGGACGACTTAAAACATCCCCTTAAGGACCTCCCTGGAGGTCCAGTGGTTAAGACTCCACGCTTCCAACACAGGGGGCACGGGTTCGATCCCTCGTAGGGGAGCTAAGATCCCACAAGCTGCACAGTGCGGCCAAAAATAAATAAACAAAAATTTAAAAATAAATAAATTAAGAAATAAAACATCCTCTTAGCTTATAAAATGAACACTTTCAACAGAAAATAAAATTGAAATCCCCCTTTTTCTAATTTACTTAATAGTTAGGAAGCTTTGCCTCATTCAGATGTTAACTGAAATCCTAAAACTCTGAATAAAACACTATCAGCATTTTCTCCTGTACTAAAAGCTCTCTGAAACCGTTTTCTGAGAATTCTGTCACGCACACACCCCCCAAAGGACCAATCATAAGTTTCCACACGAGGTCCTGTTACATTGTGTCATAACCATAAAGGATGCGCCAGCAGACCTAGCAGTGCTGTGGAGGTGATGACTTGCTCTCCTCCCCGCCTTCCTGGAGATTTAGCAGAAGGCTCCCCTGGACCTGGAATCACTTCTCTGGAGGGTCTTAGACTCCAAAAGGCCGTGGAGAATACCCGCAGTCAAACTCGGGAGCCTCAACTCTCTAACTACAATAATCTATAATACAAACTATAATAAAGCTTTAATTTTGTTTCCGTGATGGGCACTATTCATAGACTTGTCTACAGCCACATAAGAATCACCTTGAATGTCTACATTGAAAACCACAAGAAAACATGCCCTCCGTAAGGAACGCTTTGTCCTCCCAACACTTAAGGCCACGTCTATCGATGTTGCCGTGTTTCCCCTCCACTTTACTTGATCTTGGGTGCGATTCTCGGGGGTTGTTTTTTAGCTTATGTAAGAAACATATTACCTTTAAAGAAGTCAGCAAGGATAGCAAGGTCAGAGAAAAGAAAAAGTACGTATGTTTCTAATACAGTCCAAAATCAGTGAGTCTCCATCAATAACCGGAAAAAAAAGGGTCTTACCAGTTCACCCCTTTCTCCCAGTTCTCCCTCTTCACCAGAGGCACCCTAAAAGTTAAAAGTCACATTTTTTAAGTTCTTAGTTCCTTGGCTCAATTTTAACCAGTCAGCATTGAGAAGTATTCAAAAGTCCCTGCAGTGCCCCCAAGATCATGCAGAAATATGAAATGATCTCAGTGGTTTTCCTATCTAGCTGTCAGGGGCTTGTCCAACCCAGAAAACAGCCCAGAGAAAAGCCAGAAGGTGAAGTTGAGTTTCTGCTAAAGGTAAGGATTAATGACTATAGTCAGCAATTTTATAATTAGGTAATACTTAAAAAGGGTTCTTAGAGTTGAGAAAAAAACAAACAAGCAAACAAAAAAACACCAGGGCAAGGACTAACTCTAATTCACATGCATTGTTTATTTGCTAAGGTCTTGGTAAAGAAAAAACAAAACATTATGATGCGGCTATGGGAGGCCTCATCAGACTGGAGTAAACCAATCTGTTGCGTAAGAGAGACAGGGCCATTCTTTTCAAAGGAAGGACAATGTGTATTCTTGAAGGCAGAGCCGTCATTCGCTCCGGCTTATTAAAATGGTAGATAAGGCTACAGACCAAATTAAACCCTGCGTTTCACTCACTATGAAGTACATTGAGCCTCCACATTTTACCCACACCGCAGGTCAGCCAGTGCCCCCTGCTGGTAAGGCACATTAAGTGCTGCATTTCACACATGGCACCTACCTGTTCACCCTTTGGACCAGGTTCACCAACTACGCCCTGTAATGAATAAAATATACTTTTTCAGTGTTTTGAGGTTTTTAACTATATAATTTCAAACGAACCAACTCCCCTTACTGGGCTGGTGAATAGGAACAAGTATGAATAATCCCTATCACCTCACCACCTAGCAAGAGTCAGGTCAGACCTGGAGAAACTGACAGTTGTCCAAAAAAAGTCACTGGCAACCTGAAGTGCCCTCTAATCACATCCATGTAAAATGTAACTAGTAGGACTGGAAGTTTAGAACTAAATAGGATGTGTGATTACAGCTGAAATTTTTACTTTACTCAGCTTTTATTTTTCCCTTCTGATAAATTACTATATTAATAGATTTTTTTGTTTGTTTCTTAATCTCAACTCTCAGTAATTTATCTTTCTTGATAGCTCTCTATGGTAATTTCTAGAAAAATTCTCCATTGGGCCAAAAGCGACCTTGGTTTCTCAACATAGTAGAAATCACCCTTCCAAATAAGGAACTTTCTGGACAGCTAGGTATCTTACCCTGTCACCTTTCATTCCAGGAAGTCCAGGGGGGCCAGGCAAGCCGGGGAAGCCAGGTCTGCCGAGAGAACCCTGAAAGGCAAACACAGAGTCCCCAGAACCACTGCTACCGCAACTTTGAAAGCACATAAGCCAGACACAACCTTGGGTGTGTGGACTCCTGTCTAGAATAAATGTGCTGTGTTGGCTTAACTCTGCTTCTCAAATTTGTCACTCTCCCAACTCCCAGGAGAAGAGACCCAGTCCCCCCCCCGGACTCCATCCCACCTCTGAGGTCCCCAGTGCCAGGGCTAGCACCCCTTCCCAACAGTGGGCTCTTTGAGCTGAGTCCCCGCCTCGCTGGCTGTGTAAACAAGCAAGGCTGGAGAAGTAAAAGGGCGGCATTCACGCACTCGCTCTCCAAGTCCAAGAACAACCAGGAGCCAAATGTAGCACTTTGTATCTCTCCCAGTTTTCGAATAAATGCTACAAGCCACACTGATTAAAATACCCTTTAAGGGTCTCCTAGATTTAATTTGAAATTCCTCATTTACATTTTCACACATTCACATAGGAATAGAAGTCAAGTAAGGATGATGCAATTACCCTTTGTAAATTATTTTTCTCTCCTTGCTTCTTTTAAAAGACTTATTGTGTTTTGTACGAAGCAAATAAACTGCGGGACCAGAATTATTACTTACCAGTTTACCTGGTAGTCCTGGGGGTCCTACTGGTCCTTCTTCACCTCTACTGCCCTAGAAACACACAAACATGATGGTCAACCAGACAGTCTGCCGAAATGCAAATGTTTAATCACTATTTCAATGAAGTAACATGCTACCTAGGTTTTTGTTTAAATATAAAGGTCACCAAAGTATTCTCCCCATCTTCAACTGAAGGCAGAGACCTTTATATTAAATGCCTGCAGCCTCGTCAGTGTCCATCCTGAGTTCTAACAGTCCTAACGCTGTTCGTTGTGAACACAGGCTGTTCCATGGACATCATACCTGATACATCTACAAGAAATGGCAATTAGGAGTTTTCAGCATCTACTTCACCATCCAAATTAGATTATGGTGATTTGTGTACATGATTTATCCTCTCATTTAGACTACATGTTCTTGAGGTATAGGTATAGTAAAATTTTGAATTCCACATAAATGTGTAAAACACAGAGTAAATTTCAGGTCTACAGTACATTTTAAAGCAGCATCTGGCAAGTGATCTTGAACCTCGAAAGAGTGAAAAAGACACAGGACAGAGATGTTCGCCCTCAAATTACTACTGTAACTTCAGAAAGACATAAATAGTAGAAATGTATAAAGTTTCTGAAAAAGTCTTTGTTCTACTCATTCTAAACATGTCTTAAAAGATTAAATAGACTTTGGAAAGTACAATTTATAATGTAGATGCACCAAAAGCAACACTCTCATTTCATTTTGTGAGCCAATATCAATTTATTTGAAACTCGAAGCCCTTTGAGAAAAGGAAACACCACGAACTCTTCAATTTCTTTCTCTGAGAACTTCATACACTTTTATGCAGTCTGACAGAAGCTTGTTTCATTTCTAACTCAAGTTCAACTAAGCTGAACACTGAGGTTGCTGGATAAATAATCACATTTCCTGGATGGTGTACACAAAATGAAGGCAGTCTTTTGAGTTTGTTTTTCTTTAAAATGACATGACAACTTCATATTAATGTTTAATATTTATAAGTGCTTCTGATAAGATTATCCTGATCTGACCCATATGTTATTCATTCATCTATAAAAAGAACAGAATGTCAAGATCTATAAACCTTCTGCATTTTCAGTTGCTCTAGAGGACTGAGAATTGTATGCCAAATTACAAGTTTCTAGCTATAATTTCATATGACTTACAGGTGATTTAAACAAAATACTCTTAAATGCTTTTCAAAAACTTTTATATGAAGGTTCTGTCAAATGCATGAGTTTGAATAATACATTGGTAGGTAACCCTTGTGAGCAGCTTGGAAGCCAGAAGCAGTACCCCATGTGGACAGATGTTAGAAGGATATATTGATAAGTCAGGTGAAAACCAGCCCTTATGATAGATTCTTCTATGTGTCTCTACACATAAAGATGGGGTTTCACTCCATTAATATGACCCAGTACTTCCAAGTTCAAGATAGATTTTCTTCAGTACATCTGCTCTGCTGGCATTTTCAAATTATTTCTGAACTGCATCCTGATTGAGATCCTAAATGTCATTGAGATAAAATGACTTTAATTCACAGAACGATTAACAGTCATTGGTGGGAAACATAATTAATCGTGTCAGAAAGGGAAAGGAAAGTTCTCGACACAACCTCAAGCATTCATGTCTAAATAAATGAACCATTATTCCGTCTTATCCAAAACAAAGATGATTAATATACTCTTCTCCTCTTCCACAAACCAAAAGGCTAAATGAAAATAAAGGACTCTATAACCTTTCATTTACTTTTGGAGAGATTAATTATCTTTTCAGTCAAAGACAAAGATTTTCTCTGCTGGAATCTTATTTTCTCTGTCTTTCATGCGCTCTCATTATTCAGTTCAGAAGTCTTTTCCAAGCCCCGGCAGCCCTTGGTAATACCTACGAACGGCTCAGAACCCAGTCTACGCAGCCTGCTCTGCTGACCTATAGCCATGACAGGGCAACACACGTAGGACCGGGGGAGGGATGGGTGAAATTACAGGCATTCACTTTTCTGTCCCTGCACAAATAGACAACATGTGGGTCCTCATTTTCATTTCACGTCTAGCTTATAAATCCTTGGCTATTCTGAACTTAGGTATTTCTATAGAAATCATCCCACTGTGCGAAAAGGTAATGTTTATTTTCACAAGGACCAAACAGCTACCAAAAAAAAAAAAAAAGGGCAAGATTTTCTCATGGCCATTCTTATGATTTCTATGTGTTCTAAAAACATGCATATTCTTCCTCTAAGTTCTTTAATTTCACCTGTAACTAAGATGAACGTGAGAAATTGAGATATAAATAGTAATCTCTAAAAAAACACAGGTTAAACTAAACACATCCTGCAGGGAGCAATTCACCCTAACCTGGTAACAACAAGAGTGCTAAAAAAATGATAAATCTCTTCTGTTTCAACAGCTATGGTGAAACCACATTCTCAGATGTGGGCCAGGAAGGCTGGTGGGGAAATGGCTCTTCTGTCCCATGGCTGATATTTACAAACCTCTTGACAGAAGTTATGGGTTTTAACAAGAGAATTGGAAGGAACCAGATAAAAAGGCAACATCCTACCACTGAAAATGCGAAGACCATAAGAAAATGCTCTATTTTTCTCTTGGGTGCTCTGTGCCACCATATTTATCTCCAACATGTTAAGACACATCTTCCAATTCGTCCCTATCTAAGAAGCCAATCAAGGCTTAAAGAAAAGAAAAGATGCAGCCCCTCTACCAATGATTCCGAACCCTGGCTGTGCATCAGAATCCCCTGAGGAGGTTTTAGAAATACATTTCACTGGTGTCTTCACCACCCCACCTCCTCTCTCCCCTCCGCATTCCACCCCTCTCCCCCAGGTCCTGATTCTGTAGGTCTGGGGTAAGACCCAGGAAATTACTGGGGCTTGTGTTCTGTTCGTTTGTCTTCACCAGCTTGACTTAGATTCTTGTTAAATGCTCACTGCGACAGCTCCATAAATACTAAAATTTGCTAAATGTGTTTTGTGCCGTTAGAATTTGCCAGGCTAACTTCAAATAAAAACATGCAGCGGGGCTTCCCTGGTGGCCAGTGGTTGAGAGTCCGCCTGCCGATGCAGGGGACTCGGGTTAATGCCCCGGTCTGGGAAGATCCCACATGCCGTGGAGCGGCTAAGCCCGTGAGCCATGGCCGCTGAACCTGCGCGTCCGGAGCCTGTGCTCCGCAACGGGAGAGGCCACAACAGTGAGAGGCCCGCGTACCCCAAAAAAAAAAAAAAAAAAAAAAAAACATGCAGCGGAACCTTGACATTGGAGGCATTAGAGGGTGGAAATGGGGACCTGGACACTAAGCCCCAAGGCCAGGTCTGAAGTTTGGCTCCGCCAGGCACCAGCTGACTCCAGGCAGGCAACTCAACCCCTGTGTGCCTCCGTCTCCTCATCTGTAAAATGGGCTTTGGGGAGGATTGAGTAGATACATGAAGTACTTAGAACAACGTCCAGCTCATAGTAAGCACTGCAGACGTGCTAGTTATTATGTTTATCCAAGGAATAAAGACATCAGTCAAAATGATGGTTTTCAATCAAATGTTCCATTAAATGTTCTTTTTGCTTCAAATCTTCCAAATTTCTTTAAAAGCATGAGTTATGCTTGGAAAAAACAAGTCTTTAGTCCTCATTTCTCGAGTTTCTGTCAGATCACTAAGAAGGCGCCTTTTTTATAAAGAAATCCTAGCAGCTGTTCTGTAAAACTCATTTTAATAAATACAAATACTTCAACATGGAAGTCTCCCTTTCAAAATGGAACTATTAGACTTCTAAAATACCACCAAAAAATGCGTTTTATCATACTTGGGTTGTCATAATTATTTTACCAAAAAAAATGGACTTTACTCCACTGTGCTCTAGATTGTGGTGGTGGTTGTATTTGCCTGATAACCCCAAATGCTAACTAGATGAATAACAAACATTATCCTTAGTACCTTGCCAGTTTCAGAACTGGGAAATTATAAATCACTATGCTCAGTCTGCAGTACGCCCTAAATGCCTCTTTCTGGCAAAAAGGATGTTCAACCCAGAAGATGAGTTATGACTGCTAAAGACCGCTGCTTTTACAAACCCATTTTCATATTAACATTGGCAGATCATATTAGTCCTACTACAGGGATGATTTTTAGGCTTGCCACAGAATTTTTTTTTTTTTTTTTGCGGTACGCGGGCGTCTCACTGTTGTGGCCTCTCCCGTTGCGGAGCACAGGCTCCGGACGCGCAGGCTCAGTGGCCATGGCTCACGGGCCCAGCCGCTCCGCGGCACGTGGGATCTTCCCGGACCGGGGCACGAACCCGTGTCACCTGCATCGGCAGGCGGACTCTCAACCACTGCGCCACCAGGGAAGCCCCACAGAAATATTTTTTAAGATTCATTCAATTTTACAACATTGTGTACTTTGTATTTCTCTCCAGTGTAGGTTTAAATATCCCCTCACACAGAAGCAGATGACAATCTGTTTACACTATAACCATCACAGCTGCTTCACGAAGTGTTGACTGGGAGACTATTCCAGAGCCTGATGGGGTAGGAAGGTAGCTTAGGTCGCTCAACTGCACAGCATGTGGGACCTCTGTGCCGAAGCTGCTGGTGATGGGGTCAGGTTAGAAGACTTCAAGAGAGAGGAGACAGGCTTCCACGTTCCACGGGTGTATAGTCTTCAGAAAACTGGGGGTAGATCGGTGTGGCACTCATCCCAGTCAAAATCACGAGAGCAGAGCAAACACAACTAACTCAACAAAAGCCCTGGCAAGTTCTGGGAAGCCTGGAAGAGGAAGCCGGACCGGAGCGACTACACGATGGGACCAAATCAGAGGCCCCAGCCACCTGCTGGCTCTAAACCAGGAGTCACCCAGATGCATGTGTAAACACAGGGGAATGTGACAGAGAAAGCCGGAAGCACAAGCCAAGTGGTAAAGATACGTGCTCATACGTAATCCCTAGAGATGCCAAAACTCCAATATTTTTTTGCCGTGGCGTTGGCGAAAGTTGATGGAACAATGGTGAGGAAAGGGGAGAATTTAATTTCAAAGACAGACTACAGTTAACCTTGATTCTTTCACAGGACACATTAGAAATAGGTTTCATTCCTTCTACTCAGCTTCTCAATTGAAGATTTGCAGGAAGAACTGATCAACCTTGTGGGGAATAGGTGACAATGTGTGAATTTACCAAGAAAATGAATTTAATGATGGAAAATGAAAGAACAAATGTATCTTTCAGTAAGTACATTTGGTGTAAAAACTCTGATCCAGAACTATAGTGTTTATAACCACACGTGATACTCTTCTGAAAAATTTATAGTAGGTGAAAAGTCAATTATGAACAGAGGCAGCATAGCGAGATTTACTGTACCTCCCATCCAATGCATTTCAAGGAATATTTATTGAGCACGACCTTACGGCAGGCCCCGAGGAAAGAGATGTAGGGAACACAAATGTGGATCAGACATGTTCCTGACTTCCTGCAGTTTCCACACCACAGGGCAAAAAGGGACCAAGGGTTACAGGTTCAGAATAAGGAGAGATCACTTCTATCTGGGGGGTAGGGCGTCATCAGAGATGGTTCCATTGCAGAATTAACACCTCAGTTGTATCTAGGAGGGCACGTGGGATGTCCAGTCAGAGAAACAGAGGAAAAAGCCATCTCAGTTGCAGGGCATCACGAAGAAAACAGGCAGTCTGAGAAGTGCAGAGAGTGTTCGGGAATTAGCATGAAGTCTAGCTTGGCTGGAACACAGGCTCTTAGCAAGGCAGAAACGGGAAGTAAAACTAGGGGATAAACAGACTTCAGGCTTTCCTTTATTGTCAGTGGAAATCCACTGAAGATTTTTTAATGAAGAAGAGAAATGATGCTGGATGCTGTACTTTGCAAAGACCAATATGGAGGCACGTGCAGACTTGGAGCCCTACCGTTCCCCAGGCATTTACGTTTGTCACCAGGACTGCGGGGACACGGCTGGAGTTCTAGATGCAGGACACCCTGCGATGTGCAAGAGTCATGGAGAACGGAGAGCTATCCCAGCCAGAATACCAAGAGTACCCTGCTGCGAGCCGCAGTAGAAGGAAAGATGGGAGCAGGGAAGGCAAATCAGGAAATGGCTGCAACAATCAAGCAGCAGTCAACCACCTGAGCCAGGGGGTGGACGTGGGCTTAGAAAGAAGAGTCAGACAGGAGGCTTTAGAGAGGACGTGGTAGGATGAGCAGGTCCACCCGGGGACAGGAACGTGATGGTGAAGAAACACCAAGGCTTTGAGCCTCGGTGACGGCAACAGTGGGAAGAACGCGGACGCTTACAGAAACTAACAAGCAAAACCGGAATCAGGCCCAAAACCCTGCGCAGGCATAACTTCCTCGGATCCGCCGCCCTCCCTTGAGCGAAGTCAACACCGCCTCCACCGCACGCCATCGCTTCCGAAGGCCGGCCTCGAGTCCTGAGCTGGGGATGGGCCGAGCCCACTGCACCCGTGCGGCTTGTGCCCCGTGCCTGGCCCTGCCATCAGCAGGGGGACCTGCAACTGTACTGCTTTCTGCTCTATAACGTGTGCACGAGATGAAATAGGCAATTTTCTCAAAGCTCCAGCACCCTTCCTCCACACCGTTCAGTCTTTCTGTTGCTTCAGAAATAGGATGCAGCTATGACCTCACTGCTCTGACAGACAGTCGAGGGAAAGTATTGGACACCGCCTGGTACTGGTCAGCTGACGAACAGCGGTGAGAAGTGGGAAAACTCCACTCTCCACTCTCATATCGCGAGACACCTGGGATATTTCACTTTTCCGAAGCGTGAAAATCCTCACTCAACATACTCAAGAGATGCTCTTTAGAAAGTAACAATGATATTTGGGAACGTCTCTGTGTTCTCACTTGGAGTTCTTTGTGTTACCCAGCAGGCTTTGAAGATAAGAACTTAAAATCAAGACCAGGGAGACTTTTTTTAAAGTTAAATTTGAGTGCACCATGTTTCATTTCCAAATCAGTTTCTCTCTAAGGGTTAAAGTGTATCTAGTGAGAAACTATACATAGCTATATTTGCTGCAAAATAGACACATTTACAAATTCACACTAAAAGAAGTCTGGCAGGTTCTCAAAAGATTAAAATAGAGTTATCACACGACCCAGCAATTCCCCTCGTAGGTATGTACTCAAGAGAAATGAAACAAGTCAACACAAAAACTTGTAGAAAAATGTCCACAGCAGCATTAATCATAATGGCCAAAAAGTGGAAACAACCCCCATGCCCATCGATGCATGAATGGATGAATAAAATGTGGTACATCCATACAATTGAATACTATTTGGCAATAAAAAGGAATGAAGTACTGATACATGGTACAGCATAGAAGAACCTTGAAACATTATGCTAAGTGAGAGAAGCCAATCATTAAAAAACCCACATACTGCATGATTCCATTTATATGAAATTTCCAGAATGGGCAAATCTATAGAAAGTGGATGAGTGGTTTCCCAGGTTTGAGAGGACTGGGTGGGTGGGTGGGGGGGGCGGGGAAATGTTGAATTGCAAGTGGATCCAGAGTTTCTTTTTGAGGTGATGAAAATGTTTTAAAGTGGACTGTGGTGACGATTGCACAATTCTGCAAATGTACTAAAACTCAGTGGATTGTATACTTTAAATGGGTGAATTATATAGTATGTGAATTATACCTCAATAAGGTTGTTTTTTTTAATCACACTAAAATATTTCCTACATCATGGGATGAGAGCAGAAAGGGTCAACATGTTTTTTTTTAAATACTTCATTTTTGTTTCTACTTTCTAGGGGAAAGAAAGCATATTGTATATCTAAGTAGCATTCCTGTTCCATTGTTTATCTGGATTATCACATGTTAAAACGTCTGAAGGCATTCCTGGATGAGTTAATGGATGAATGAATAAAGGAAGGAAGGGAGGGAGGGAGGGAGGGAGAGGCGGGAAGGAAGACCCAGCAAAGCCTGGGGAAGGCACTTTGGGAGGGGTCCACAGAAAAGGAATACTCACAGGGAGGCCCCGAGGTCCTCGGGGTCCCACCTCTCCTGGTGGCCCCTGGCGGCCCTGTTATAAGGAAGGCAGGTAAAGAAAAAGTTAAACTCCCTAATCCTTTGCTTAGTGATTACAACAGATTACAAGGTATGAAAAGGTAACCTATGGCAACTTACCGGTTTGCCTGAATTCCCCAGTTGACCGGGCTTCCCTGGAGCACCTGTGTTACCCTGAAGGCAAAATACAATATTTAGAGTAATTCAGGCAGTAAATAAGCGTAATAATCAACCTGTCTTACCCAGACTGGGTATTTCTTACACTTAAATAGCATTACTTTCCTGATTTTACATTGAGATGTAAACTCTCTTTCTTGGTGGGTACATCAAAGTTCTTTAGATTTAGGTTAGGATACTGTTTTGTCACTTCCAGAGGCATAATATAGATGTCAAAAATGTTTAAAAGCGAAGGTCAGATGTCCAAAAATGAAGGTCTTTAGACAGACAAGAATAAGAGAGGATTTTTCTTTCTTTACAATATTAATTATATATGTCTTTCTTCATCATTTCCACCTCTAATACAGTTCTTGGAGACTTTTTATTGATACCTGACGTTGACACCATTAAAATTGTAAAAGGTCATGCCAACATGAGGAAATAAGGGATGTGCCAGCAAGCTCCAGGGAAAGCAGGTGTCTGGGATCCCACCCCACCATCAGTTGCTCATGGTCTACTTCCTAGGGCACATCTCTGCTCAAGACTCCATGAGTCACTACGATCGGAGGCCTGGAGCCATGTAATCTAATAGTAATCAATTTCTACGTTATTCACAGTTTATCTATTTTATTTAAAGTAACGCTATATTTTATCCCTTTAACTTTTTCTTTCAACTGTTGTCCTTAAGTGCTAGAATATAAGCACTTAAAACTGATCATTATGTGAACAAAATGCTTAATATCTTTTAGCTTAAGATAAATCATCTTAATAATATATGCACTGACAATTTCTATGGCTTAATATCGTCCTCACAGTAAGTCGTAAAGAGCAAATCAAACTTTCCCTGTTTTACACTGGCAGAGGATGACTCTTTCAAGAAGGCAGTCTGATCAGCAATGCTTTGTCAAAGTACTATTTCTGCAGCTGGGAAAGAGATTAGCTTCTGAAGCCTTAAGGCCTTCTTGATTTCTCCTTAAGGTCAAACATATAAAAGGCAGGTTGGAAATATATAAAATGATAAATAAAATATATTAGTAAAAGAATAAAGAAATAGAGAAAAATATTAACTACAAAGTTTTCATCTTTTACCTTTTCACCGGCAACACCCTTTGCGCCAGGAATTCCAGGTATACCCTGAAAGCATGCACACAGAACTTAGGCTTAATCACCTCCTCTGAGAATCCGTGAGATGCCAAGCCCACTGCATACTGCCGAGGGGCTGGGGGCATCGTGACAACCTCAAAGCTTTAGAGGGAGATCCTTCCTAGTTCCCCAGTTTGAACAGTTATAGACCTACCCACAGTGTAGAAGGCAACTTTACTGTAACTGGCTTGTTATGTCTGAATACCCTTACAGCAAATTCTAGCTCTAAACTAAAGTTACTTTTCAAGGATGAACTTCCAAATTAGAATCCTATTTTCAGATCAACAGGAGCTCTTCCTGGCATGATTTCATGTGTGGAATACAAAGCAAGGACCTATCAAAAACTCTAAGCCTTAAGTAGAAAAAGAGAATGGCAGGAGAATGCTGGGTCTGAGATTTGGTGCCACTGGGAGGCCTGATTTCTCTGATTATTTTAAGGTGTCAGATATCATAATAAACCGAGGGCAGCCCTCATCATTACCAAGTATCCCTTTTAACTTGAAATAATTGCCTCCAAAGGGCCAAGAATACACGTGGTATAACCCACGTGAACTTCCAGCCACATTAATGCAGGAAAACACCAACTTGAATAATTCAAAATAGCACACGATCAAACGATGAAATCGTATTATCTCACATTGTTCCCTGAACATCCTCTCAACCTCTTATGGCTCAACCCTGGTACAAGAGCTTCAGAACTGGTTAAAAGTAGGAGGAAGTATAAAGCCTGGACCACAGCTCAGGTTTAGTGAAACGATATAAGGAAGGTTTAGTGAACTCTAGAGAGAGGAGGGATGCAAAATATAAAGTTAAAGCTCAGTGTGGCTACCAGAGAAATAACTAGTTATTCAGAGAAAAAGTACAGAAATGTCAATGTAAAACTGTAAAAATATAAAATGAAAGCATCATTTCTTCTCCAGAACTTATCAAATTACATACATAACATGTTTCTCCCCCAAGTGCATATATTCAAAATATGTATATAAACCAATCAACATTTAAATATTCAAATACTTACAGGTAACCCCTGCAACCCTGCTTCCCCAGGAGGTCCAGGTTTCCCTAGTTCACCCTGAAAAAAATTTTTGTTGAATCTGTATGAACTGCTGTCCTTCTTTTAAGAAAAGGAAAGACCAAGACCTTCTAAGTAAAAGGAGTATCCGCACAGCTGACCTTACGTGCACTTTCATAGCATGACCCAGTTCAGGGTGGGGAGATGGGATAGGACTTAGGACAGAAATGCAATCAGAATACGTTAATTTCCTTCTGCCTACTCTCATCAATGGGGCAATTTTACTGACTTTCTGAAACCAAGCAAACAAACATTCTATTCTAATAATTTTTTTTTATTGAAGTGTGGTTGATTTAGAATGTTGTGTTAATTTCTGCTGTACAGCAAAGTGACTCAGTTATACACATAGATACATTCTTTTCATTATTCTTTTCCATTATGGTTTATCTCAGGACACTGGATATAGTCCCTTGTGCTATACAGTAGGACCTTGTTGTTTATCCATCCTATATATAATAGTTTGCATTTGCTAATCCCAACCCCCCAGTCCGTCCCTCCCCAAACTCCTCCCCCTTGGCAACCACAAGTCTGTTCTCTATGTCTGTGAGTCTGTTTTGTGTTTTGCAGATAGGTTCATTTGTGCCATGTTTTAGATTCCACTTGTAATTGATATCATACGGTATTTGTCTTTCTCTTTCTGACTTCTAATAAGTATCTTGAACTGACACTTGATTAAAAAATTAGAAGGAGGAAAAAGTCAAAACCAGCTCAATAAAAGTCCCGGTGACGTAGTAATGAAAACCCTGTGCTTGGCTGGCCCCGGGCAGGGACAACTCCACCACCTTTAGACTAAATCACACAGCTACCTTTGTTCCCGGCATTCCAGGTATCCCGTCCCGGCCATCCACACCTGGCAAGCCCTAAAGACGCACAAAGAAGCACACTGTCTCTTAGAAACACATTCTTCTTCCCTTCGTCACTTTCTAAAGTTTTATTAAAATAATCACTTTGAAAAATGGGCTTGATGACTACAGCTCACGTACCGTGTCGCCCTTGGGCCCAGGGAGACCAGGAATTCCTCGAGAACCTTGAGCCCCCTGCAGGGTAGAAGGGAGAAGACAGGCAAGACACAATCAATTACCACGTGTACTTAGGTCACATCAAAGAGACCAGCACAACCTGCATGCTCGCAGTGATTAACGCGAATTCGAACTCACTCTGTCTCCCTTGGGACCTGTTTCTCCTAGAGGTCCTCGCCGCCCTTGATCACCCTGTATGAAAATAAAATTGCGTTTAAGTAAGCAAAAGTAACTTTTTGATAGACTTTCGAAATTATAAAACACCATCTACGTTACCTTACTATTGCCCTTTCATCCCAATGGCTTTGCTCTATCGTGGATGCCTCAAGAAATCTTTTTATAAAAATTATATTGTCCTCAAAATTGATATTACCATAAAGATAATTGAGACGTACATGTCTATTGATTTCATTGTAAAGGCATAATGCTCTGTGCTCTTTGGATGAATAAGTATAATAAAATTAAGGTCCACACTGCAGGTAACCTTGACATCAGTAACTATATCTACACATCCTCTAGCCTCATTGACTATCGTGGTGGGTTGAGGTTTGGACGAGTTGCCAACCTTTTCTCCATATTACTTACTCCCCCAGTCAATAATAATGATTTCTGTCACAATTACCCAGCTAATGTTGATATATGGTACAGGCGGTAATAGATGAGAAGAGGTGTCTTCCTAAAATATAGCTTTGGTTGAATTGCTTAACTGCTCTGAAACCTCAAATGGCTTCCTGTTGCTACTGGATCACTTCGGATCGCCCAGATTGGCATCAAACACTCTCCATCACGTGCTTCGACCTTATCTATTCAAATTCATCTTCTCAAAAGGAGCTCTCCACCCAGGCCGTGCCAGCCCTAAGGCAGCACACACCCCCATCACCCCAACAGGGCTTCTTCCCACCTGTGCCCCGCCTCCCCCCCCAGCACGGCTTTGCAGGCCCTCCTTCCTCTCAGGCCCGCTTGGTGCATTACCTCCACCACATGCTCTGGAGGTTGATCTTAAAATGTTATCCTTCAGTTACATTCTGTCCTTCCCACTGGACCTTGATAGTTGGAAATTCTATTTTACTATACCTTTTCTTCTTTTCAATGTGGTGTGAGAGATATTAATGAACAGCTCTTTGGTTTATTTACTTCCAAAACAGGTGTGAGGCAGTCCACAATAAGGACACGTGTGCACATGGCCGTCAGAATATCAAATAATGAGATCAGAAATCACAGGAGAGAAAAATGACAGAACTACCCAAGAACTTCAAGTGAGAGAGTTTCTGTGGCTCTAAGCACCCCAGCAACCAAAGCAAAAGGAAAACGCAGCAAAAGCATAAAAACTTAACAATTTGACTGTACTTATGAGAAAAACAAAACCCATAACAAGTCAGAAGAACATTTCTCTGTACAAAAAAGAGATGCCTGTCTTAATTTTAAAATTTTAAATAAATATAGAAACTATTGCCCATTTTTCCACCTTATTCACACGTAAAGACACTTGCAAACACACACGTACATATAGCAAAAAAAATCTATCATTGATCATTGCGAAAAAATCTATCAGTGGATCCCATGAAAGGAAAACTACTCACAGGTGCACCAGGGAGACCTTGTGGTCCGGGTTCTCCATCTAAGCCCCGAGCGCCCTGGAAATAAACGAGACAAAGAAATGAACTTGAGATCAGCCATGTATGCTAAAGGGCACACCAGTCTTTCTAAAGAACTTCAATAGCCAGATAAAAAGGAGGTTTTGTGTTTTGTAATATATACTCTATTCATCAGTGAACCCGAGGAGTATTTAATCAGAAAGCTCAGGTGTTAAAACACTGGTTTACATTCTCTCATCCCACCAAAAGCACCTACACCCAATCTTTGATACCACCCTGAATATTTTAAGTTAACAAACACTGAGTCCATTCCTGATTGCTGATATGAGCTACCTGTTTAGAGAACTTGGCAAGCCTATTGGAAAAGGTTTGGTCATCACACTCCAGGGTTCTCAGGATCCCTACAGGGATTCATTGATGGTGAAGACCAAGGGGCCACCCAAATAGTAGCTGCTGGGGACTCCGCAGCCACCACACCAGTGGGAGGGGTTTCTGGGACTCGAGATCCCCACCCAGACCTAGAATCAGGAGTCCAGCCGTGTGATTCAGGGGAACGAATTGTAATAAGGATTTAAGCATCCCCTCTTCCATCCTGGATAGATGGCAGGTTCAGTATGCGTAAAGTAATTGATCTATTTTCTCCACAACAGATTTACCCTGCTGAGTGATGGTGGCTAAAAACTACAGAGCTTCATAAATCTAATCATCGTGAAACTATCTCTGTCTTTGTTATCTATTGCACCTATCGCCTCCCTATTTTCATTATAAGGATCAAAATGTGATTTGAAAACAAAAATATGGGGGTTTTAGCGCTCTCTACATATGCTACATGACAAGACACACTCCCCTGTTTAAAGCTTCTTCTCATCTACCAGGGGAACGAGAAGACAGATGGGCACCTGAAGTGAACAAGCCATCTCCTGATGAACAGGCTTGAGAGGAGGAGATGATAAAAGAAACGGAAAACAGTCAAAAGGGTATTGGGTAGATGTCAGGCCAAGAAAACCAGGTGGACGGTGTCTGCAGTAAGAATTAAAAATTAGAAAACCTTTGCTAGAAGGTTCAGACGTGGGTAGAATCAAAGAAAGAAGCAGAGGCACCACAGAGCCTTGAAAGTCTCTGATCCCTAAAACTAGAATAACAGCAGAAGGCGTTCTCCTTCCACCAGTGAAGAAGAGGTTTGGGAGACCTGAAAAAGCCCTTGAAGTCGTCACTCACATTGCCTGGTGGAAGGAGAGCCAGCCTTCGAGTTATAGAAATGGCTCGGACGCTGCCCGTCTCTCTCCCTTTCTCTCTCTCTCTCTCTCTCTTATTGCTGTTCAGCACCAGCTCAGACCCAAACTGCTGTTACTAGGTAACCACCCCGCAGGTCTGAATTCACCGGAAGAGCTTTTTTCTTTTTAATGAAAGTAATTTGACAAAAATCAGAGGAAATGAGAAATTTTGAAAACTACCAAGTAGCAAAATACCTCAAATAAAGAGCATATCAAGAACAGTAATTGGTTTCAAAGTGAGGGTCACGTATTTTAGGAAGTGATTTAAACCCAGAAAAAGCAAAAGCCTGTGTATCAGCAACTTCAAAATAAATGGGATTTATTTTTTAATAACAGAAGAGCACACACAGAATGTTACTTAAGGAAACATGAGTACAGAAATGCAAAATATGTTTTTAAAAATACAGTGTTTTTAGAAAAAAAACCGCATTCTATAGGAAACAGAAGAGGGAGATGGGCACAATGAGAAAACCTAGACAGACAGAGAAAGTGGCTGAAAAAATGAAATTGATGGAATTATTCATGAAGCAATTCCTTCGATCCACAAAAATGTGCATCTCTTTTTTAAAAAGGTTGAATTTCATTTACTGAGCACCTACAATGTGCCCGTTCTCCTTGTCTGGTTGCTAATGAAAGACTCTGTGCTTCTGTGCAGAACAACATGAATTAGCCTCAGAGGTTCTGCAGAGGGTGAGGCGAGGGTCAGGAGGGGTGGTGGGCAAAGAGCCCCGTTTTTAATTTTCTGGAGCCTACAAATGGGCTTTCCTAACAAACTTTCTACAAAGTGCTGACCATTTCCTTAACATCTGAGAGAAGCTAGACATGCCCCCTCCACTCATACACACACACACACACACACACACACACACACAGAGCAAGAAAAATATTTCTGAGCTCATCATGAACGTTCAAGCTTGCGTTGTTATTGCTTCTTCTATTCACTCAGACAAGCCATCCCTGCCCTGCCCTGCCCTGCCCACCAAGGGCAACGCATCATCCTCCACTCCACCTCTCCATCCTCCCCTGCTTTTGCCGGGCACTCCAGGTACTGTGTCAGTGTTATCAGTGTCAACTACTGATAAAGACAACAGATTAAGCGAAACAGCCCTGCTCACTCCTATTTACCCAAAATAATTTAAAATATATAATAATAACAAGTATCCTGTGTATGACTCATTTCTATCATCTACGTTTATAACAGAAAGTAAGGACCCAACCGAACATCTACAAAGCACCAAATAAGAAATAAAAAGTGACGTTGTTAAAGATAAGAGGTTATTTGAAATGGCCCCAGACCTAAACATTTATGCATTTTGGTAGTGTATCATCACCATCATCATCTTACTTTTTCCCCTTTGGCCCCAGCTATGCCAGTGATGCCTCTCGAACCTTGGGCTCCCTGGAAATGTAAAAAAGAGAAGTAAATTCTTTTAGTTGAAGCACACATTCTTTGATCTCATCACAAAAGCTGATCGAGAAGGATGTTATCATAACCAAAGGTAACACTGAGAAAAAGTGACATTATATTGCAGACAAACTTTCCTGGTTTCGAAGAAAAATCCAAAAGGAATTCTTCTGATGTCAAAACCCTTTTTAAGAATTCTGAAGACTTACACAAATCTGGAATCGGAACAATGACTGATGGCAAAAGAGTAAGTATCATTAGCATCAGAGAATCTTGCTAAAGCCTTTGACTTTTAACTCACACAGAACACACTGCCACTTTTGCCTCCTTCGTGGTTTGTAACGTGGTTACGGGTCACATGATCGTGATTTTAAACTTTGGACTAATTTTTCCCCACCAGTGTGTGCCATCCAAGGCAATAGGTTCCCAGGCAGCCCACAAAAGCTTCTTCCTATAAGTGTAGCTGGGGTCTCCATCATTCACTTGCCATCACGCTACGTTACGCCATTTCTACGATAAAAGGCATTGTGAATTCCAATTTGGGGCAGGAGGAAGCCATCTCCTCCCTTCTCGGGCACAGGAGTGCGTAATCCTCAAAATGAGGGTGCAGGGTGTCGATCCTTCAACACTGAGTGTTGTCATTCTTGACTGTCTGGACCCACAGCAGCAGGGCTCCAGAAACAGATGCCGTAGAGATGCTCCCTGGGGAGAAGCAGCGGGCAGACGCCCCATCAGGAAAGCGGGGTAGCCACTTCCGGGCAACTTGCTAACTGTCCACAATGGCTTAGGATAAAGTAGCTCTAGGCCAGTCATTTCCCCGTGCTCTCACTGGAGAAAAGGGGGCATCTCCAACTGTCTGTTTTACATCCAGGTCAGTCCCGGTTCTCTGTAGATCAGTTAGGAATGGCCTGAAATACACATGGCCAGGGTGATCCAGTCAGGACACAAAGTGAGATCTGGCCAAATCAGAATAAAGCCACTCATTCTTGTGGGGCTTATTTTCTGACTCTGAAGGTAATTCAAAAAAGAATTCCAGAAATATTTGGGTCAATAGCAGAGACATGAGAATGACATGTGTTGTCTCCCGAGCTCGTGCATAAGTGTTCCAAAAAGCATACTTTTTACAAATCTTGCATTCCTTGACAGATGCTGTATATTTAAAAGATGAAAAACTGTGAATTTTACAGAAATATTTTGGCATATCCTCTCCCAAACCCCAGAAGTTCAGCAAGCAGTAATGATATCCTCCAAAGACCACCAGGGTCCCACAACATAGTTAAATATGTTTCTAAAAATACTTCACCGGAGGTCCTTGAGCTCCAACCTGTCCAATTCCGCCCTGGTCTCCTTCTTCACCCTGAAAAAACAGAGAGAAGGGCACCAAATGCTAATCCAGCAAATGGACACTGAAATGGGCTCGGTCTAACTTGGCACGTGGTAAGTTCATCTGGCATCTCCTGAATTAGTCTACTATACTTGCTTAAATTATTTTATATGAGTAGTCCATATTAATTGCAGAACATTCGGAAAATAGAGATGCATATAAGTAAAGTCACCCAAATCTCACCTTTCCACTATAAACACCAGTAACATTTTGGATGCTATCCTTTCAAAGCTTTTCTAAAGAGAGAGAGAGGAGGGGAGGGAAAGAGGAAGAGGGGGAGAGAGAGGGGGAGTGTATGCATTCATGTTCTAAGTATGTGTGTTGTGGGTGTATTATTAAGAAAGTGTGGTCACACTATGCAAACTTTTCCTTAAACTATAATATTTTAAATTATGATTTTCATTTTAACTTTTTCATTATAGTTTTTGTACCATGCACAGTTTTTTTTTTAAAAATTGTACTTAAATCTAAATCTGTCTTTTCTTCCATGGCTTCTACCTTTGATGGTGCTCGGAAAAGCCTTCTCTGACACCCCCAAAATATATAAATATTCATCTATATTTTTCTTCTAGTAATTTTATAGTTCATTTCTTACATAGAAATTTTTAATTATCATTAATTTATGTAAATATAGAGTAGAAATCTTTTTTTTTTCCTGATAACTGGCACTCTATCCAATATCATTTATTGAATAACAGATTCTCTCCACCCAGGCTGAAAAATTCATCTTTAATGTATGTTAAATTGATAAATATACTTGTTTCTGGACTTCCTTCCTATTCAGCTATACTGAATCATACTGCTGTATGATGTTGTCAATACCATAACGTTTTAATTATCGAAATTCTATAATACATTTTAATCTCAGGTTGGGAGAATTCCTTTACCCTTATTTTTCATTTATAGTTACTCTTATTTTCAGATTTTCTTAAATGTTTACCCTTCCACATGAACTTTGGAATTGTTGGGCGGATCTTCACAAAAACACTGCTTGCTTTGTATTAGGACTTCATTAAATTAATAGATTATAGAGAGAGAGTTAGAATCTTCACAATACTGAGTCTTTCCATCTCAGAACTCAGTGTATCTTCATATTTAGTCAAAACGTTTTCTTTTTCTTTCCACCAATAAAGTTTTGTTCTTTTCATTTTGTTGAATACTTCTTAAGTTTGTTCTAAAGTATTTTGACTACCTGGTGGCTATTGCCAATGGAATCTTCTTCCATTATGTTTTTTAACTAATTATTGGTTTAACTTTTTGATACTAATTTTATAATCTCTGATATACTTTAAAATGTTAGGATATTCTAAACAGAAATCCAACTACTGTTTCTTACAGAAAGATTACTTTATGGACTCTGGGAAAAAAGTTATTTTCTCTCTGACAAATGTTTTACTTTTCACAATAGATATACTGTTTTACATTTTCTGTGGTAATGAATGACTTAAATTGTGAAATTCATCATGAGAAACATTCTTAGTTTTTGATATTTGTTCATAATGGTAGATTAAAATCCAGTTCTATTGTTTATTACATGCTTCAATTCACCCATTTTCTTACTCCACATGCTATACTTTATACATAAGAGATTTTTGCACACAAACACACACATACACACACACCCACAAAGAAATACAAAAAATTTAGTAGCAGTGTTAATATAGAACATTTGGGCATCTAGTGCAAAGAACTAGGCTATACCTAAATAATTTACACTTGATTTTTGAATGAACTCTGAGAGTCTTACATAGTGGATCTTTGTCTCATAAGTATATTCAGATTACATTCCGTCAGAACATAAGATTGACAGTGGAGGGAGATGGTCCTAATGGGAAAGCCAGTGAATAAGCTAGTTTATGGAGCGGATAATCAACACATGTGTATGATTAAATACTACTTGTATTTCCCCATGTAAGTACAAAAACAACAGTGATTGTAATTTTTCATTAGCAGGTTTTGGGGTATTTTCCCATAGATTCTTGATAAACCTTGGAGTAATGTACTTGACTGAAATATTTCACCAGCAGATGAATCGCACACAATAACTAATCAATAACCACAAAGCTAAATGACAAATTTAGGAATAGCAACTTATTACCGTTTTACTGAAAGATTTTTGACTATTCATTCTTATCTTTATAAACAATTTTTTAAATCTTCATTAATTAATTTGTAGAGTAAACTCAAGGCAGAACCGTGAATCTGAAAGCAAATTTCAGACCCCTATAGTCTCATAATTCTTCATCTTTCTGCTTTCAGTTTACAGTTAAAAGCATCTATTAGCCCTTTCAAGTTTCATTGTTCAAGGAGCTATCTTATCTTCATAGGCCGATTTTCAAAGACACCACTGAAAGTTTTAAGTGACATAAACATGTGAAATAAATTAAAGGAGTTTTCAACAACTTTTTTTTTTTTTTGCGGTACGCGGGCCTCTCACTGTTGTGGCCTCTCCCGTTGCGGAGCACAGGCTCCGGACGCGCAGGCTCAGCGGCCACGGCTCACGGGCCCAGCCGCTCCGCGGCATGTGGGATCTTCCCGGACCGGGGCACGAACCCACGTCCCCTGCATCGGCAGGCGGACTCTCAACCACTGCGCCACCAGGGAAGCCCCCTTATAATTCTTTATAATGAAAGTGATCACGACCTCCTAATCACAATTTTCCCACTAAATATTCATTGTCCTTACCTTGTGACCTTGTCTTCCAGGTTCACCAATCTCTCCTTTAGCCCCTTTATGACCCTAACAAATGCAAAAGTACGTAAGTACAGAAATAAATAAATAGACAAGCAAACAAACGTGTTGAGTTTGGCACAGAAAGTGGTCAGAAGGCTCACGAAATGACCTTGCTCCCCCCAAATCTATGTCCATAGGCTGCTAACAGAAAGGTTATGTCAGAGAAATGACAGCCTTAGAAGACCTTAATAACACCATGTGGGCTACATGACCACAGTATACAATAAATATCAGTTTCAGTTAATAGACAAACTCTGTTCGAGAATAGCAAACACCCCGTTACCTAGTTCAGCCACTGGGCAATGACTCACTGCCAGCCGGTCCCTAACCCTCCCCCCTCAGCTCCCTCCCACAGTTGGGCGAAGGGCATGGAGTCTTCTCCAGCATCAGTAACTCGCTCTCCAGAGGTGACGGCTGACACACCCAACGGGCTACTCTCTGCTCTCTGGAGGCTCCCCTGAAAACCCTCTGCTTCCTCTGTGCCCGTCTCCTTCCTGGAAGCAGAAGAAGGGCTTCCCCAGACACACGACTTTCTGCCTCTTCTTGTACACAGTTTAAGTGCAGGTGACAAGCTATAAGCGGCAGCCCGTGAAGGTTGCAGAACATGTGCAGAAATCCTCATCTTTCACTGTCAAGCCACCTGTTCTAAGCATATGTGCGCTTCGGGTCAGGGACATGGGGCAAGTGTGAAATAAACATTCTGAAATTAAGTCTGTCAGAGCTTCCTTCCTCAGAACCTGTCTTGTACCAAGGGTGCAAGTCTCTGTGAAAAACAAGACACCAAGCCAGGCCCAAGCCTTCTGCAGTTATGGGAACCCACCAAAGCTAACCTCCAGGAAAATCACAGTGGGAAACCCAGGGCCTTGGAGCCTTTGAGATCTTTGGCAGAACTTCCCTGGTCTGGGCTAGAGAGAGAAAGCCATTTAACCCCAGCTTTTGGTATTTATTCTCTTATTTTTATGGGCAATTTTGAAGTAGTTATGATGGCAGAGTGAGAGAAAAACACTTTTGGAAAGTCTCTTTTCTTCTCTATTTTGCACAGTTTTTCCAATTCTTTTTAACTAAAACAATTTCACATACATCATGTGTACCATCCCTGGCCCGCATCTCTCATCACTGGAGCAAACTTCTGAACCTTCATTTGGTGTTGTAGAGTCCCTCCATCCAATACATTTCACTGGTATTTCTTCCCTGAACAGCACTGAATAATCAAGCATCTGTGTCTGTCAGGGTACCAGCGGGAATCTCCAGGACTGTATAAGGACCACAGAATAAGCGACACAGACTTGCCCAATCCATCAAAGTGGGCACTCCGCACCAGAAAGGCCAGTGCTTCAAGGAAAGGCTCTACTTTTCCTGTGGATAATACTCTTGAAAACAGAAAACAGAATACAGCATGGAAATTATTCTCTTACCCTCATGCCTGGCAGGCCTGGATATCCAGAGCGACCCGGTGGACAGGAATTGGGACACTGCCAGAGAGACAGACAGTAAACCAGAGCTTCTACTTTATGACAAAATGGTACCTCCTTTAGGATTCCAGCTACAGAACCCCAATTCAATTATATTCATGAAATAACTCTGACTACCCCCTTTCCTTTTTTATTCTTTTATTTTTAAACTCGGAAATATTCCTAGCTTACAGAAAAGTACAGAGAACATAACAAACGCTTCCCCCACGTATCCGCCACCCAGATTTAATGTGTGTTACTATTTTGCCATATTTACTTCAGATTTAACTTGTTAAAGAAATAAAATGATTGCAGACAGACCACTGTCCCAGGGCATGACCTCTGTCCCCTCCCACCTGCCCCCCACTCCAACAGCTCTGTCCTGAGGGTCACGTCCCCCCAACAATGGACCAAAATTGCATTTAGTGCAGTTTTCCTACATCGTTTCAATATTAGTCTATAAGTAAAACAAGTCTCAGAGCGGATTGTTTGACTTCTGGTGAAAAAGCATGTCTTAGTCATAAAGTAAAAAGATTATGGAAAAAAAGATATTTCTATAATGAAAAACGGTTTTTCTGAGTGTACACAAGCGACCAGTTCACCAGTCCGGCCGACTGCTCTGCTATCTGAGTAAAGTAAAAGACAGAAATACAACATATTCCAGTGAGGTCATTTTAAAGAGAATTCACCTTTTAAAGAGAATTCCTGGTCTTTGACCTAAACTGTACTTTGTTCAAAGGAAAATGTCTTACCAATGGATCTCCATCATGAAAGCCAATTGTTCCCTAAAGTAAAGAAAATACTAAAGGTAAGAATATAGTGAAACATTTTAATTCAGACTACTAATAACAGAAAGTTCACTGGACAAAAATACAATCAATGTATTTGTTCAATAACCTATACGGAATAAATAGCGTATAATACGCTAACATTCTAAAAACTTGACTTGGCCTCTTCTGTTTGGAGAAAACTAAATTGCAGTAGATTATTTCTTTCAGGGGATTGAAGGAAAATAAAATGAGAGAATAGAAAATATGGAGGACTCTAAATCGTAAATTAAAAATAAGGATAATCTCCTAATTAACTGCATTTTTAAAAGTACTTAACTGTGTAAATCCTTCGTAAAAACGAGTTCCTTTGAAAATGTTCCCTTTATATGTCCAAGTTTTGAACATTTGAGACATCACAAGCCTCAAAGCACTTCAAATACAATGAGTAAACCATTCCCCGTGAAAACCATCTTTTAAATTATTGTGATTTCTCTACTATTCTGGCCCAAAAAGACCATGCTCTGAATGAGTGAAAAAATCATAGCCATTCTGGAATTTTAGGACAATGACTTGATTTAAAGGTACTTCCATTTTTGGTTCTTAGGTTTCTTTAATCCCAACTCTCAGACACAGAGAAATTCAAGCTTCAAGTAACTTACGCTGGGTCCCGGGGGACCAGGGGGGCCCGGTGGTCCTCTTCTCCCAGGGTCACCCTAAGTTATTTGAAAATTGTGACACAGTGGTTATATACATGTCAAAACATAGTGCGTAAAAGTGGTGAGGCATGAGAAACTGACATTCCTAGAAACCCTGCAGAGCTCAGCCTGCATGGACCTGCCACCAAAATAGATGGGGGACCCACAATCCAACTACCTCCACAAAACCAGAAGAATAAAGGACTTCCGGTCTCACCAAAGTAGTAAGACAAGGCAGAGGGAGACTTGGGGAAAAAAGCCAGTCCTTCTCTATAGGATGATCACTTTATCTACTCTGCAAACAAACTGGAAACACTACGTATTGCTCTAGTTGATTATCAGGGGAACCAGGACAGCCAACAAACTGGAAACACTACGTATTTCTCTAGTTGATTTTCAGGGGAACCAGAACAGCCGACACTGCTGATGCTGCCCAGCTAACAGCAGCAAGGAAGGCTTGCGCCTGCCTGAAGCTGCAACAGGGAAAGTCGTCACCTCTGCAGGGCCAGCCACCCCTGGGGCTCTTCACCCAGAAGCTATCCCTCGGTCTGTCACTGCACGCTCTTGCCATTGGGACGGAAGGTCAAGATGGCTAAATTCAAATAAGCCATTCAGATGAAAATGGAGTCCAGTTAGACTTATTATCCAGAGTTGACTCCTGGCACATCTTTTCCTTCCTAATGTTCTATCATAAGAAGTCAAAAGCATCTGACAATCAATTTTACAATCATTTCATATTCATTCATCATTCACTAAATAAATTTGTCAAACAGTAGCTCCTACAGACTCTCCATGGATTTACTATTATCTATCGTTCAGAGAACGTCAATGATTCAACGTTTTTTGAATGTTTATTGAATATGAACATCAAACACATTACCAGCAATTTCTTCCATGAAGCTCAGCTCTTTACTGACTAAAGTTAACTTCTGTCAGTTCGATTATGATTTCATGATCCTAACATAAGTGTACATGGTAGTAATTTTAGACTATTCACTTCATTTCCTGCAGGGAGACTAATAAAAGAGACACTGGACCCCAATCCTGGCTTAGAGTCTGTAAAACGAAGGTGACACTTCTCCACTTGATCACTAATTCTATAAGTTGGGAAGAAAAGTTTAGCTGAAAACTTCGGGGAAAAAATTTAAATCACTCTACAAAAATGAGGGAGCATTATCACCCTGGTCTTCATCAATATTATAAACTGGAATGAAATTCATCTGCCATTTCTTGGATTTGCAGGGGGAAGCATACAGCTAGGGCAATGAGCCTTCCCTAGTAACATCTTCCGTTAAATCAGCAAATGTCTACCAATGCACTGTGTGCGCGTGTACTCACAATTGGTCCAACACGGCCAAGCTCTCCGGGGAGGCCTGCTCCCCCAGGAGGACCCTGCAGTCATCAAATTAAAGGGACACGGTGATTTACGGATGCTTTTACAATCTATGACAAGTGATATCAAATACGATAAACTGACTTAGAATTACGTATCTGTGCTAGCTTTGGTTTCCAACGAGACGACTCATTGGACCAAATTTTAATTACTTATATAGAAATTAATTAAATTAACAGAAATTCCTTAAATTAATAAAATACTTTTAGCAGAATAGGGGTGCTGTCATAGTAGCCCCCTAAGATCATTCAGGTAGGACACTATAAACGCCACTGGGTACAGTGTTAGCTGGAGAGTAGGGTCCGGATCTGATAAATGGGCCATTTTTGTAGACTATGTAAAACAGACCAAGAGATAATACTTACAGGAGGTCCAGGAATACCACGGCCCTAAAAGATTAAAATAAATGTTGTTACGGTACGTGACCCATACTTAGTGTAAATACAGACACAGAAATAACTCAGTTCAAAAATAAACAATAGGGAACTAAGATCCCGCATGCCACAGGGCAACTAAGCCCACGCGCCACAATTAGAGAGCCCACATGCCACAACTAGAGAAGCCTGAGTGCTGCAACGAAGAGCCCATGTGCCGCAACTAAGACCCAAAGCAGCCAAAATAAATAAATTAATTAATTAATTTAAAAAAATAAATAAAGTTTATCACTAAATAAACATAAGATGTTCATTCTACAGAAAGGACTGGGTAAGGAAAAGCAAACACGGCTCTACTTCTAAAGGAAGAAATTTGCTTCAGCTCCTCAAATATTCTTTTGATGTCTAAGCTAACCAGTAATATTTTTTCCAAATTTTTTTTAAAGAAAACCAAGATGCCATTACTCACAAAGAGGCACAACCAGACTTTTTCATATTCTTTTCCATTGTAGGTTATTACAAGATGATGAATATAGCTCCCTGTGCTATACAGTAGGTCCTTGTTGATTTTCTATTTTGTATGTAGTAGTTTGTATACACTAATCCCAAACTCCTAATTTATCCCTCCCCCTCTTCCCCCTTTAGTAACCATAAGTTCGTTTTCTATGTCTGTGGGCCTATTTCTGTTTTGTAAATGAGTTCACTTGTATCATGTTTTAAATTCTGCATATAAGTGATATCATTTGTCATGTTTTATAAGAAACCTACATTAAAAGCAATACAATACTGCTTTAGAGTTTATCATGTGATATTTGGAAGTTCCCCAAACTTCCTCTCCCTAGTTTAGGAGAGAACTTCCTAAAGTTCTCTCCCTTTAGCACAGAGAGGCGGGGGAGAAGAAAAGGGTTTAGAAACACACCCTTCGACAGGTAGGGCTATATGCAGACACCAAATCCATTAGATACTGAAAATGAAACGGTGTCACTCATGAAATAACCTCCAATGGATCCTAATTTAGTATGCTGAATTTTATTTTAGAGCTGGTCACCCCATCTCATACTCCTTTACATTTTCTATCTCTTGAGCAACACCGAACTGCGTGTAATCAAGGGTTGAAACCACGCCTTCCGCAGCCTCGCAGCCTGGATTCCAAGCACAGGGCCTAGTACGTAAGAAGCTCTAATTCTACGCTTGTTGAACTTAATAAAACTGAGCATCAGCTACCTAGAGCCCCTATTCTCTCTATGCTTTCCGGGGTCAGTCTCCCGGCCTTGGGTTTCCTCTCCTCTGTTGGCTTGAATCCTTTGTATTCATAACTGTCTCTGATACCATATTCCTGATAGCTTATACTTCCAGACCTCCTTTCCTAAAATATCCTTATATGAAGGACCCAGTGGAATCAGTGTACATCCTCTGATAATGATATTATTTTTTTAACATCTTTATTGGGGTATAATTGCTTTACAATGGTGTGTTAGTTTCTGCTTTATAACAAAGTGAATCAGTTATACATATGTTCCCATATCTCTTCCCTCTTGCGTCTCCCTCCCTCCCACCCTCCCTATCCCACCCCTCCAGGCGGTCACAAAACACCGAGCTGATCTCCCTGTGCTATGCAGCTGCTTCCCACTAGCTATCTACCTTACGTTTGGTAGTGTATATATGTCCATGCCTCTCTCTCGTTTTGTCACAGCTCATCCTTCCCCCTCCCCATATCCTCAAGTCCGTTCTCTATTATTTCTAATTATCTAGGCAGCCACAACAAGTATGAATTTCACATGAGCAGTATGTTTTAATGATAAGTGGGACTTTTTTTAAGCCATTCTTTGAAAAATTACTTCTATTTGAACATTTTAATATGTGGATCAATTTCGGGAATAAATGTTCTGCTTGGCAATACCAAAGTAATCAATAAGTTATTTCATTATCAGAGACCTAGAGGTTTGATAAATTTCACTAAATCTAAAAAAAAAAGGCATCTCTATAAGATGTTGAGCTCTGAGCTGAAAATATGGGAGAAAGGCCAGCAAGATATTCACTTCTGCAGATGGACTTATAATGGAAAAGTTGACAGACACTGAAATAAGGCAAAGAAAACAGTGAGAATAGAAAACAAGGAGGGAAAATACAGATTCCTGACAAGAACAAAAGAGGAATGAAGAGCAGAATAGAAAAAAAGATAGCAGCCTGAGATCTCTTGTTCTCTTGTAGGCTGAAATAACACAAGTCTGCCAGATTGTGCAATGTAGAAAAAGACTTGCCAGGGAACCAGGTGGGTGATAATATCTGACATATCTGACAGCCAATATTTCATTAGAGATAAAACCAGTTGTGAAGAAAGTGGTGTGATGCCCAGGTCTAAACACTGAATACTTAGATTTGCTGTTGTTATGCAAGAAACATTTTCCATCAGTGGGGACAGAGAGGGGGATGTCTATTAGGAAACGCTACCTGCAAACAGATGTATGTATTTTACACCATACATTCAAATTGCTCTAAAATTTCTCTACTCATAGTCAGAATGCTTATCACAGCAGATAAGTCATAAACTCCATTGTGATGTGTATTACGTAGAAAACTACATTGAAAAATTTCATAGTGGCAGAATTTTACCTAAAGATAGGAGATTATCAACCACGTCACTTTACATTTACTTACTGGAAATCCACGAGGTCCTGGCACGCCAGGTTCTCCCTAAAAATAAAAATAGCTCCATTGTACTTAGCTTTTAGCAGAATGAATATGTAAGTATGCAAACTGGGTAAATATTGAGATCATTACAACCCTCCATCTTGGTGTTTGGGACGTAATTTAATTCAACTGAAACACGATTTTAGTTGAACAAGTGTATTTCAGCTACTTCACAACTAATCTGTTAGTTGATATGGAAACACCACAATGAAATTATGCTTCCACACTTAATGAATACCAGCAATTAATACCAGGTGGCTAACTTACTTTCTGTCCTCTCGGTCCAACAGAGCCAGGAGATCCATTAGGTCCCGTTAATCCCTAATAAAGCAAGATGATGTTAAAACTAATACAGCATCCTTAGGCAAACCACTAAGTGGATAATTTTGCTTAATTTGTTAATTATATACAGGATGGTTACCTATGTAGGGTACAAATATTTGTAAAGAAATACCTTTGCATATTCTTTCTGAAAGCTAATGTTTAAGATCTGCCTGTTAGTCACTTTCTGTTGATAAATTCTATCCTATTCCTAACTTCCTGCTAAATGCATTGTTTATCACAGGGTTCAATAATTTAGTACTTTTGTCTCTGCTTTGAAAAATGCAAACTAATAGTTACAGTGTTCTAATAGGTAAGTCTGATAGGACGACAGGTCTTGTCTCTGTCATTTAGCCATATTTATGTACCTCCTTGACTTCGTTTATAAAACAAAAACCCTGTATATCTCTGTAGCTTTTGAATCACGTCTTGAGAGTTAAAATGTTCCTTCAATAGTAATTAAAACTAATCCATCGCATTATTGCCTTAGAGCCGTCTAAAGCTCTCTAGTCATCTTAGCAATGATGACTGCTTATGGAATACATTAACTTTTAAATTTGAATCACTTGAGAGCATGTATGTTTCTAGGTTATCTCCCTTAGTAAAACAGCTATTATTAAGTATACATTTTCATGTGTGCCACTCAGTATGTAGAATTTAAGTCAGTTACTGAAAATTAATAGGGAAAATGACAATGTTTGGAAGTGATGCTTTAATAACCGCTTTAGCTTTACATATGATGGTTATAAACGTGTTTCACAGTAGTTGATTTAATAGATATCAAAGCATGATAACACTACATGTACATCCAAATTTCCACATCAGGTAAAGATGCATTTTTTTTTTTTTTTTTTTTTTTTGGCGGTACGCGGGCCTCTCACTGTTGTGGCCTCTCCCGTTTCGGAGCACAGGCTCCGGACGCGCAGGCTCACTGGCCATGGCTCACGGTCCCAGCCGCTCCGCGGCATGTGGGATCCTCCCGGACCGGGGCACGAACCAAGTCCCCTGCATCGGCAGGTGGACTCTCAACCACTGCGCCACCAGGGAAGCCCGTATTTTTATCTTTGTAATTTTTTCTTTACTTTTAGATGTTGTCATTTATAATGTAAACTTGAAGGGAACACCTTGCTAAAGACAAATATGTGTATGTGTATCTATAGATATATACATACATATATGTACATATACATATATGCATGCATATACAATATAAATACCTTATAAAACCTATACATTATCAAGATTTTGAAAAAGGCTAAAATGATACTAATTGAGGGATGGATTCCTTGAAAATATGAAAGCCCTACTTAAAAATAATCACCAAAATCCATATTTAATCTGTCATAGTCTGCATAAATATCAATAAAATGCATTCATGCAGCTTATATAGAAAACTATTTCACTGATCACCACTTTTACATTTCTCTACGTCAATTAATTTCCCTCAGAGCTCCAAAGAGTGAATCAAAGGAGGTAGAAAAGAATGAGTTGAAAATGTTAATTACTGGAAATTTACCAAAGAATAAAGTTATTAAACACACACGGAAGAGTTTTTGACAGGCTGAGATTTTCAATCTCCCCAGTATAACTGTAACGCTGTAACTTGGGAACAGGTCCCAGCATCTTAGTTGCTGAGCACCTATGGTAATGGAACGTTGGCTTTTGTATTTCAGCAAACAAACCATTCCTGCAGGGGCACTCTGGTAACACATATGGCACATGGGTTTTATAAACCTCAGGGCATGTCTGACGAATGGGACATCTAATGTCCACTCTATGCATATACCCTCCAAGACCAATCCTGGTCAATCCCCACACACACAGCCAGCTAACCATCTCAGTGATTGAAGTAACTGACAAGCTACTGTATATGGTAGAACTTCAGCTCCATAATAAGGAAGCAGAATGGCTGGATACCCTGGAGGCTGCTTCCAGTCACTTCTTATTTATACTGTCTCCCACAGACATGATAAACTATGTCTAATCACTAGGAGGCTCTTTGAATGAATGAAAATATATTCTGGTGTCTGATGATCCAGTGGACTCTTTTATGAAATAGCCATGTAGAAAAGCATAAGCTCCACGAGGACAGGACTGTGTCCATTACAATCCTAGCACATTGTCCCAACATCTAACACACACTCAGTACACGACTACTGAATAAATTACTTTGGGTGTTGGGTGGAGGGATTTCACACCTGTCCTTCCACATCATCTTTACTGTCGGTTCAAATCCCACCTCTGGCACTTAATTGCTGTGCAACCATGGTCAAGTTGCTCAACTGTATGTAGCCTCAGTTTGCTAATCTGTAAAATAGGTACGATGTTAATATCTACCTCATATGGTAATTCTGAACATTCACTGGGGTATTACATACAGAGTGTTTACAACAGTGCCTGGCAGGGCGGGCACTGAGTCAATGTTAGCTGTTCTTACCGCCATCGTCATTGTGTGGTCAGACTACACTAGATGCTAATGAAGAGTTCACGTGAAGTGATGTTCCCTGCCCTCTGGGAGCTTAAAACCTCATTCAGAAGGGGTTCTGCAAATAAGCAGGCAAAAAGTTCTAGGTATTAACCACGGGCACTGTGCTTCACAGCCCCCGTCACATTTTTTTTGCTGCCTGGCTATTTCCACTTACACTGACCTTTCAGAGTAGTTTCTTTATTACTCACTACCCTAATCATATCACATCTATCTATCAGGGATGATAGCTGTATACATTCAGGGGATGTTCTAACCTCTTTCCTGTAAAAAGTAGCATGGCTTAACTATAATTCCTGTACTTCATTCTAATTCCTCTTCTCTGTATCTGAGATGGATGCTATACGAGTGAAAAAAAAAATACTACTTTACAGAGCTCACCAAGCATGCCACAGCAAAAGTGCCTATAAGAATATAAGTTATGAATGATAACAGCACAGCTGTCCTTTGGGAGCAGAGCTTACATCCAAGCTCTGACCTCTTTAATTTTACACATCTATAAGGGAAAAGAATCAACTTACTAAAGTCTTAGCAGGAAAGGAGGGATTTTATATGGATGTACATAAATCTCCTACAATTTACATTTACAGATGCACGCATACAACTCCAGCTTGCAATCATTCTTATTTGTCAGAGAAATGACTAGAGGAAAATATTGCCAGCGGCAGAAAGAATTGCTGTCATATGAATGCTTATGCAGATGAAGTTCTATACGGGACGATATTAAAGCCAACTGTGTTCTGAAACTTCCTGCCGCTGTCCGGCAGGGCACACCAGCCATCAACAGTAATTTCCTTCCAACATTCCAGCCACTCAGCTCAAGAGACCCAACACGTAATCCCACAAGACTAGCTGCCATGACTCGTTTACCTTTTCTGTCACAAATCCACTTGATTCAGGATAATTACCTTGAAGCCATGTTCCTTTCAGATCCTTCCAAACACCATCTGATTAACCATTTGTTAACATTACCAAAAAATACAGCTTTGCCATGAACCAAGGTTGGAGGGTTCGGGTCCCACCACTACACTTAGGTTCACCTACCAAGAAAGATAACTTACGCTTTCCCACTTACTTAGCTCTCAAGCCCAGAGACAAACAGCAAACTCTGATCCAGTTTCTGGTATTTCATTAGTCTCAAGGTCTATTCTCAATGTAGGGTAAAAGGTCTGTTTAAAATGTCAAATGTGTCAAAGAGTGGAATAAAAAAACTTTTCAGGTCAGGATTTTGTAAGCTGCATGTGGCTCCATTTCAAAATTTGGCGAACATGAAATTTATACCAATATTTACAAGTAATTATAAAATATCAATTAAAATATTTTTACTATCCATTGAATTTTTAATATCATATTTCTTGGTTGGTAATTCAGATAACAAAAATTCACTATCATTCTTTTTCTCCCTATTTTCTCCAAATATTCATCTATTTAAGAACCTCATTCATATCTGTATGAGGCAAAGCTATCTGGAAAGAAAGTGACTCTAAAAATCAAGAAATCTGGTTCCTTTCACCATCTTAGCCACTGAATAACTCTGGGCCCCTGGGGGAACTACTTGTCCTCATAATTATTCAGTGTCCTTGTCTGTGAAGAATAAAATTAGCCAAACCTACTTTCCAGCTTATTGTAAAGTTAAAGGAAATAATGTTTGTGACTGCATTTGAAAAAAAAGTTCTACTCAAATGCAAATTAGTATGGTTCATTTTTTGCTCGGTTCTAAAAATGCCCAAAATACTGGCACATACACGAGTTTCTTACTTTATCTCTCCTTCCTTTCTCTTTCTCTTTTTCTCTTGCTTTCCTTTGCAATCCCAGAAGATTGATTCAATGCCCTCATCAGTGTCTCCCTGAGGACCTCCCAGGGTCAAAGTTCTATGATATAAGAAACCTTACTATTTTACACTTTTTAACTTTGGAAATCTGATTTGGAAATCTGCACTGTGGTACTGCAACTATAGACAAAGGAGAAAAAAAAAACTATTCGTAGGTGTTATTTACATTATACTTCTGAAGATTTTGAAGACCTTTCATTTGTTTATCCCAAGTTTCTGTTTAAGTGTGGAAATTACTTTATAAAGCAAAACCAGGCATTGTCTTTACTCTTCTTTATAGGTGAAGAATTTGTTGCGCCTGCTACAAAAGCACCATAATTCTAGTCCTCTGTCTGAAATTATGGCAACTCAATAGTGAGACAAGACTTCAGGCCATTGGTTTATGCTTCAACCGCCACAACAATCAATAATAATGATAGTCATTTAATCATCAATTTTCTTTTCACATAAAACAAGGTCCACGTTTCAAAGGAATGCAGAAATAAATCCAACCCGTATTGGGCTACTGGTTTACTTAGTGGCCTTGTATTTATCAGACGTTTTTGTTATCATGTGTCATAAGTAATTCACGGAGTTTCAAAGAAAAGCTTGATAGCCAACAAGTTATATAATTTCAGTTTGTATTATATGAATATTGGTCTCTGGGAACCTCATGCACTGCCACTTTGCGTACATAGAAAATTCAAACTAGGGCCTTTGAAGCATAAAACAAAGTCGATATCTCCTAAGGCAATGAATAGCATAGACAAATATTTTCATTATGCTAATCTCGATAAAGAAAGCACATCTTAATAACCACTAACATCTAGCTGTGTGGTTTTTCTTTTTCTCAAAATGAAGGCTCTGTCTTAAACTCCAGTCAAAACTTCTCGGAATCTATAATCACAGGTTTTCGGGTGCTTTTTTTTGATTTAGAAAAGTCCTTAGTTCGGGGAAACCACATGAAATGGTAACTTGAAGGATAACTTGAGGGACCCAGCCTTGTCTGTTCTCTGAGAGCAGGTGCCAGATCTCACTTCACTTCATATCCAGCGGCAAAGTCAAGGAGTGGCCTGCGGTGAGACCTCAATAAATATTAGTCCAGTGTACGGACAGAGAAGCCGAGAGGCCTGAAGTCCTTTTACTCTGAAGAAATGTTACTTAGTGTTAGGCTTATCACACAGCTCAGCATCTGTGCGTCCCTCATATGGGGGGGAGGCAGGTGTGCTGGTGGGTAGGCTGGGGAGAGGCTGCTGCTTCCCGGTCTTCAGGCAACCCTAGTCAGCTTATTTCTGTCAGTGATGTCAGCCAAGAAAACACCCATGGAAAGAGAGGAGACTAGTTTTGAATTTCCTCTTCCACGTGTACTGACCAGTTCCCTGCCCCAGCCCTGCTTCCACCCACCCCCACTCACTTCAGACCCTCCCCTCAAGAGCATCTTTCTCTTCTCTTTTCCTTGGGATTTAGGAGAACCCCAAGAACCTTCCCCTGCAGGTTCCTTTTCTAAATGCATTTAGGGGGTGCCGGAAGGCAAGGGCAGAGACGGCTTGCTGGGAAGCCCCTGCAGAGGCCAGTCGGATCCCTCCTCCCCGGCACCGGCTGAGCAGGGGAGTGGACGGTTAGAGGCAGGAACCAGTACCCACCTATGTTTTCAGAGAGCAGGAAATGCCAGCGCTGCGTGATCTCCCCGGGGAGCTGCGCGGAGCCTCTACCCTCGAAGACCCATGCGCAGAAACGTCCGTACCAAGCCCGCGCGCAAGGCCAAGTTCAGGGCCACAGCCCTGCTGCAGCTGGGACCACGGTCACCCCCATGCCTGCAGCCTGCGCCTCTCTACACGCACACACGCACACACGCAAACACGCCTTGGGCCCGGCTGTGCCCCCAGTTCCCACTACTCACGTCTGCGCCCGGCGTGCCAGGTTTGCCCGGAGCTCCCGGCTTTCCCGGCTCTCCCGGGGGGCCCTGGGCAGGGAGGACGCGAGGCAGGGAGAGAAAAAAGGAGAGAAAAGGGGACAGAGTTGAGACTCTTCTGACGCACGTGGCTGCAGACCACGTCGGAAGGAAGGAAGTGGAGGGCCAAGGTGCTGATCCACTTACCGGGGGGCCCGGGGGACCCTTCGGACCTCGGTCACCCTGGAGGACAGGAGAAAAGGGAGAGCAGTCCGTGAGAGGGGGGCGCTGGGGACCCCTCCGGGAGAATCCCTCACAAATCAGGGACAGGGACGGGCTAAACGGTGCTGGTCCATGACCAACTGGGGTCACAGGACACGTGACCTCCTCCCTCCGAAACTCCCAGGCTTCCAGGCTCACCCACGTCCCAACCTGCCTTTGGGTGGGGGGCTCGGGCGCTCTCAAATAACCCACCCGAGCCGCTGGGGGAAGGTGACACTTACGTCGATGCCGTCGATGCCCGGGACTCCAGGGGGGCCCGGCGGCCCCGGAGGACCCTGCTCACCCGGGGGGCCCCTCTGACAAGAAAGCGCACACGGATTAGTGGAGTACGTGGGGCAACGACGCGAAACTGGACACCAGGGCCCAAGGCCCCCCGCGCGGCCCGGTAAAGACATTGCCTTGCAGAGGCCGGGGTTTGAACCCAACATAACACGGGGGGGGGGGGGGGGGGGGGGGGGGGGAAATCGAACTTCCAAGGGAACTTCTTCCCCTCCTCAAGGTTCTCAGTGAGGCTGACAGTGAGGTTAGAGCACAGTCCAGGCCCCCAGGGTGGAGTCCTCACGTCTACAGAGCATTCAACCGAAGGGGGCTTGTGAGGAAGAGGGGGCCTCTTCCTCAAGGGTCGATCTTGAAGCTGGTGGTCACTGAATACCTCGATTTAATCGGTGATTGCGGGTCAGTGTTTTGGCCAAAGTGGAACAGGTAGGAGCGGAGGCGCTCCAGCCCAGATCAACTACAGTGTCATTCTGTAGACCTTCCTGTGCTCAGGAGAAAGCTGGGGGAATCCTCTCAGGGAAAGACAAGGGAGGATGGGGGTGGGTGGGGAAAGCGGTGAAACTCAGCGAGCGCCTGGCCTCCTTTCAGATCCGCCTGCAGCGATTCTCTTGCAGGAGGTCTGGGCACCTCGCTTCAAAAACACCCCAAATTTCAGCTTTGATGGTGTTAGAGGGAAGGCTGGCCTCTGAAATAGTTTGCACACGTTGCTTAGGGAATGTGAGATTTTTTTTCTCTGTCTCTCTTCTAAATTTAAAAAAAGAAAGAAAGAAAAAAGCTTCATTCTGATGAAAGGAAACTTGGTTTTTCTAAACTCCGGGGACCAGACAGGTTACAATGGGGTCTTTGTAAGTGAAACCTCAAACGGCGCTGGCTCCCCTGCCCCCGCGGGGTCCTGTCCTGGGCGGAGGGAGGAGAGGCCGAGCCTTCGGGAAGCTGCCGAAATTTCGAGGCGAGTCCGGGCCGCGGGTCCACCCTGACCAGCGGGCACAGTGGGCGGGATGCAAAGTTTGCTGGAACCCCGCCTACTCACACTGGGCTGCCCTGGACCGCGCCAGGAGGGGGAGGGGACGGGGGAGGAGAGGGGGAGGGAAAGGGGGAGGGGATGGAAGGGGAAAGGGGGGGGGGGGGGGGGGGGGGGGGGGAGGGGGGAGGGGCAGTCAGGCTGAAGAGTAAACCCCGGCCTCCAGCCTCCGCCGGCCTCCACCGACTGAGCCTGAAGTATGGGGGCCCGGTGGGCGAGGGGGCGCCCTTTCCGGGACCGTAGGGGTCACCTAGGGCCCCCGCCTCCCACCGTGCTCGCCGCAGGATGCGCGGGGCCCGGCAGCCCACGGGATGCTCGGCACCTTCCCTGAGGCTCCCCCGACGGCTGCGCCCCCTGGCTTACCAGGTCGGTGGTCTCGCTGGGCTGGAGAAGAAAAGATGGGGAGACTGTGGGAAGGCGTCCCCCTAAACCCGCGCGCAACTTACTTGAGCCGCGCACAGGCAGAGCCCCGACAGCAGCAGTCCCAGCCCGAGGGCCCCGCGGTCCCGCGCCGACCAGGCCATCCCCGCCGCGCGACGCTAATCCCCGGGCCCGCCCTCCACGCGCGCACAGTGGCGCTTGTCCCCACAAAGAGCGCCCCCAGACAGAGAGGCCTAAGTTCCTCCTGTTTGTGAGTGGCCCCGGAGAGGGTCCTGGGGATTGGAGGAGAGCTTGCGGGGCCGGGAGGACGGATAGAATGACAACAGTCCCTTTTAACCCCTTCCCCGCGGCCGCTCAGGCCGGTTCTGCACGCGCCCCTCCCGCCCCAGGGCAGCATCCTGCTGTCCTAGGAGCCGAGGCGACGGCCTGCGTGCCACTGAGGGCTGCGACCGGCAGTGTTCTTGCGGAGATGTTTGCGAGGGGAGGAGGGAGGGTCGTCAGCCACCCAAGGTATAAACAGACACCCCCGCCCCAAGGTGGTTTCTACCCGCCCAGC